CCTATCAGCCAGACTGGTGACTCTATGTGCTTACCACTGAGTCCTAATTGAACCATCATCCCCTTTTCTGCATTGGAAGTAATATGTGTTAGGAAAATCAATCCATTTGTAGGAGGAGGCTGGTTTCCTGCTAGTGCTCATATTTTCACTAAAACCCCATTTTACTGGAACCAACATTGAAAAAAAAACAGCACATTTTATTCAAAACAAGGCAATATTGGTATTGACAGAGCTGCAGTGATAATGAGGACGATCAATTTTCCCTCCTCCATTATGGGGTATTGAGCAATTTTTGAGTAAACGTGTGGCATCATTAGGCAAGATCAGCATTTCTTTTTTTTGAAAACTTTTTCTTTTTTCTTTCTCTTTTTGGTGTATTTAGATTTTAAGTATTCCTGCCAGCAGGGGTCGGGGGTGGGGTGGCGGAGTGGTGGGGCAGGGGTAGGAAGCAAAGCTAATAAACAAACAAAAAAAACCCCAGAAAGTCCCTGAAGTAATCAATGAAGTGCTGGTTGTAAAAACAGGAGATTGTAGACATATCTTTTTAATTCTTAATAATAATACATTGTGATATTATTTTTGCATCTTGCTTCATACAATTTTTCCACTTACCCTAAGACTCCCTGACTCTCTGCAAATTAAATGACAGCAGTCACCAAATACCAAGTTCTTGGTGTTGGAAAGTTCAAGTCCAGAGGGTGGAAACTCCTTTTCTTCTTTTTTTAAGGGTTTATTTATTTATCTTTAGAGGGGAAGGGAAGGAGAGAGAGAGAGAGAAACATCAATGTATGGTTGCCTCTCGTGCATCCCCTGCTGGGAACTGGCCTGCAACCCAAGCATGTGCCCGGACTGAGAATTGAACCGCAAGCCTTTGGTTCACAGGCCCATACTCAATCCACTGAGCTACACCAGCCAGGACGGCAGCTCCTTTTCTATTTTGAGAAGAATGGAGATGAAGGCAGAAGAGTGGGTTCTATTGGATGCAGGAAGGGACACTCTGAGCATCAGAAGAAAGATGTAGGGAAGGGAGTCAAGAATGTTGGAAGGTTTCCACATGGAAGGGCTCCTCAAAGTAAAAGTTATGGAACTGTTTACAGCAGATGAGCTTTGGCATTTCTACCTTCTGTTTCTGGCCTGCACTGTCTTCATTTGTCCCTTTACCAGTTCAGGCTGGCTGTATACAAACTACAGTGACAGGGGAGGGGCTATCTCAGTTCACCCAGGCTGCTATGACAAAATACCACAGACTAGGTGACTTATAAACAACAGAAATGTATTTCTTACAGTTCTAGAGGTTGGGAAGTTGAAGGTCACAATACTGGTAGATCTGGTATCTGGTGAGACATTGATGGCCTCCTTCTTTAATTTTTAAAGATTTTATTTATGTATTTTTAGAGAGGGCAAAGGAGGGAAAAAGAGAGGGAGAGAAACATCAATGTGTGGTTGCCTCTCATGCACTCCCTACTTGGGACCTAGCCTGCAACCTAGGCATGTGCCCTAGACTGGGAATGAAACCAGTGACCCTTTGGTTTGTAGGCTGGCACTCAGTGCACTGAGCCACACCAAGCAGGGTGATGGTCCCCTCTTACACTGTCCTCAAATGGTGTAGGAGAGGAGGGGGCTTTCTGGGGTCTTTTTTATAAGGACACAAATCCCATTCATGAGGGTTCCACTTTCATGATATAATCACCTCCAAATGCCCCACCTCCTAATACTTGGGGGTTAAGTTTCAACATTGGAGGTTAAGTTTCAACATATGTATTTGGGGGAAAACACATTCAGCCCATTGCAAGACCATCATCTTGGAGTCATTAGATTTCTCCTTGACATCAGTGATGTTGGCAAAATGACATTTCAGAATGGCAAAATCTTGCTTGGGAACAGTCCTCCTGAAAAAGCCATTATAATTTAGTTAAATTTTAAACTAAAATTAAATAGTCTAAATTTTTAAATCTGAAATTTTACCTAAAGTATGGTAAAGATGTAATTTCACTGAATGCCATCAGTCTGAGGCAGGAGCTGTGGGTGATATGCTTCTGGAAAGCAGGTGGGAAGACAGGAAGGTGAGCTGGGTGATGTTCATTTAAAAAAATCTAGACAAAACAAACAAGTAGCAAAATATAAACAGAAACATTAAAATTAAGAACAATCTGACAGTAACCAGAGTGGATAATGGGGGCAGGGAAGTATTTTCAGAAATTAAAGGGTACATGGACAAAACCAAGGGAGGGTAGGACTGAAACTGGGAGGTTGGGATGGCTGGGGTTGAGGGTTAGTGGTCAGGGGTAAATGCAGACAACTATAACTGAACAACAATAAAATATTAAATAATAATAATGAAAAAAGACAAAAAATCTAGAAACTGATGATTAACAATGTAAATATGTTTCATCATACAATTTAATCCTTGAAACATATATGCTACAAAACTGTGTTCAAGGCCTGTGGAAGAATGCCATCTTGTTAATTTCTGTTCCTTAGTGGTACATTCTCTTGACTGTCTCTGGGCAGAATGCCCCCAGAGATGGAAGGGTGAGGTAATTCTGAGCTAGGCTTTGGCCATACCATGTGACCTGGACAACTGACTTCTCTGGGCTCAGTGTTCTCATCAGTAAAATGGGTAAGTAATAGTATAATATCTCCCTTACAGGGCTCCTCACAGGGATTGTCTAATGTATACATGACAACATGCTTCATCTAGGGCCTGGCAGATCTTGAATATTATCATCACAGGGTAAAATTTGGCTCCCAAAATAGGTCTAGGTCCAGACTTCCTTACAACTCTAACAACTCCTTTGCACACCCCCTGTGCAAAGGGCTGTGTGATAACCCCTTTCCTCCCAGGCTGCATAAATTCTTTGCTAGAACATGTCTCCCACTGGGTGAGATTATTTTTAACCTGTCTTGCCTTGAGTCCATGATTACCTTGAAAGTAAGGACATATTCATCTTGAAATGCCTAAAACTTTGCCCAGATCTGGCATTGAAGAGGCAGTTAATGCTTGTTTGAGGAAGAAGAGGAAGTAAAGGAAGCAGGGAAAAACTTCAAGAAAGCTTTCCTGGGGGACACATGTGGATGAAAGATGGTCTGGAATTCGATGGGACTGGAAGCTCATCCTTATTAGATAAAGGTTATTCAGGTAAGGGTCACCAAGGACCATGTATAAAGGACTATGGACAAAACCAAAGGAGGGTAGTATTGAGGGTGGGAGGTAGGTGTGGGTGGAGTGGGGGAAACTGGTGGTGGGAGAATGAAGACACCTGTACTGGAACAAAATTTTTAAAGAAGATAATTCAGTAAGAACCTCTATGGTTATCCCTGGCTTTATGTTGGTGGATTAACCTAGAAGTCATTGTCCTAGATATTCTTTTTCTTGAAACCACAATCTAGGGCAAAGGTGAGCCATATGAAAATCATGCTAGTACCTCACTTTGGGTTGGTTCCCTGGAGGTGGAAGGGAACACTTGCACCCTTGCCCAAGACAAGGGTATATGTGATAGGATTCATGGAAGGAGAGATACAGGGGTAGGGGAGGAAGAAAACAGGCTGGTACAGGAGAAAGACCTGAGTGGAGATGTGCTGTCAGCTGAAATATAACTTCAGCTTGAGCCCATGGAGGCTCAGAGTTATACCACAGAGGCTAAAGGGCACAAACTCATTGTCTATAGTCTGAGGTATGTGTGTGTATATGAACAAATGTATGGGGGGGAATACATAGACCATGGGCAAAGCACCATTCACTGAGGGAAGGGCATTCCTGCAGAAAAGGGACAGCTGTGAATGGGATGCTTACCCAGAAAGTGGGTCTGGGTGGGACCCCCATAGTATTCGCTGAAGGAAAAACTAAATAAAATTAATTTAAAAAAGAAAAAAGATGTAACTGGTTTCCCTCTCACTTCAGATAATATTTTACTCAACAGTAAAAGAATGTGGATGTCCTCAGAGGTTTTGTAAAGAAAACTCCCCCACTCTCTACCATCATTTGTATATCTAGGGATATCTGGGGATTCCAGATATTTGTCTTTTTATGAATGAAGATTGTCAAACAAAGTATTCTACTTGGCTCAAATGTTTACTGAGCCAACTCTTGCACTCTGTTCTGTGAGCTTCCAAGAGGTAAAGATAGTAAAGTGATTCGAAATCTAATAAGGGGAAGATAAGAACATGTCTGTATGTATGTCAGGAAGTGCTTAAAATGGAGAGCAGGGCAAAGGACAGTTGGAGGCTGGTGGGGAGGGAGATGACACCTGGGGGATGATGTAGGGGTGTCACCAATAGCTTCCCCTAGAGCCATGACTCCAGCTGGCCTGCAAACACTGTGCATGTTTCCATATGTGATGACAAAGAGGGCTGGTCTGCCATGGCCAGCAGGACATGGGTGATATTTCCTGAGGCCTGCACTCCCAGGCCAATTCCACTTTCAAGGACAGGGGGTGCAAACTCAAATGCAGGACTGTTTAGTGAGGCCAACCAGCGGGGGGTGGGGATGTGGGCCCCACCAGAGGATATAGCCACTGCCCAGCTACACTGCTTCTTGACAGATACAAGACTACCAACCTGCCCCACCAGGTGCTTTCTAACTTTTGCAAGAAACCACATGTGTAGATATTTATGTGAAGTCTCCGGACTTACAAGTTTTAGCAATGAATTCAGAAATTACTTCAACATTATGTGGGTTGACAACCACTCATCTCTGGGGCAGATGTGCAACTTCACCTGCCTGTTTTCAGTCTCTGTTTTAGGCCATCTGCCTCTGTGGTATCTGATCCCGGTGGCTCCTCTTCTCCTATAAACTGGTGTCCAGGGTTCAGGGCTTACTGCTGCATCTGAGGAGGGCACATCTGAGGCTATCTGAGACAAACGGGAGTACAGTGAAAACAGGCTGTGGTGGGTGCAGTCTCTGGGCCCCACAACCAATTCAAGGCCTATTTGGGAGCCTGTCAAAGTTGCTACCAAACATTCTGTCCTCAAGGACTTAACACAGGCTTTGTGGTTCTTAGCTTTCCAAGGAAATCCAATGCTCCATGGCCAGTCACATCCAGTCCCTGGTGAAGTCAGAGAAGAACCGTCAGGTCATGTGTGAAGCGGGGATGCTGAGGACCCTCATGACCTCTTGCCACCAGGCCCTGACTACCAGCAGCAGCTTCCTGCACTCTGGCCTCATCAGGATTTTTGAAAAGCTTGCTTCTCAGGCCATCGAACCAGATGTGCTAAGGTATCCTGTGCTGCTCATAAAATGCTGCTGAGTGCCTGATGGCTGTGCTCACACACAGTTGGCAGGAGGAGTGCACAGGATAGGTGTCCCCATTCCCTTCCACCATCCAGGGAGGAGCCTTGAGACTATGTGGGACTGTTTAGTGAGACCATGTATAAGGGCCTACAAAGCAGACAGAGGCCCTCCCATGAGTTTCTGGTCTCAGGGAGAGGGGACAATGGTCAAAGGGTCCTGTGACCATTATACCCTCTCAGGGTATAATAGAGTAGTGCTGCAGGAACACTTGGTGGACATGCTGGAATTGCTTGGAACTGGGAGAACCATTATTGGGAGATTAGGAGTAAAGAAGTGGAGCTTCAAGGAAGCCCACTGGTGAGTCCTGAGACCAGGAGAGAAGGGAACCCAGCATGGAAAAACATTCTGTGAGTGGGTAGGGCTGAGAGAGGCTAGACTGCAGGGAGTTCAGCTGGTGCGCAAGGCAGAGGCTGGGATTCCAACAAGGAGGATGAGAAAGGCTGTGCCATTGCAGCCTATGGAGGCCTTCCTGCTGGCAGCCCCTCCATGAACCACAGCTTCCCTGGAGAGCCACAGTAGGGAGGGAAGAGGCATGAAGCAGAGCAGACACAGGAGACAAAAAGGCAGAGGAAAGAAAGGCTGCAGGAGGGAAGTCAAGAGTCTTCTGAGTATCTGTGCCTGGGCCACCCCACCCAGGCACCATAGTGGAGGGAGGACAGTGTTCAAGGGTCAAGTGCCTCCCAAGCCTCCACTGGTACACAGGACCAAGTATAGAGGAGATGGAAGATAAGTCTTCTAGTTGGCAAACACGGGACTTGGGCCAGGCTAGCCTCTTTCTGCCTCCAGTATGCCTACTGCCAGACAATACTACCATACTTAATTTGGATGTTTAGTAAATTCAATTAGAAACTTATAAAGAATGCTTGTCAAAGTTATTTTTCAACAAATTTCTTTTCCTCTCAGGGTATAGTCTGAGGATACTAGCTGGTCACTGGTTATGTCAACAGCATCTAAAAATTTAAAACTCATCAACTGTCCAGGCTGGATGCTGGGAGAGGAATGGCTTGCTTCTGTGTGACTTGAGGAAGGGTTTCCAGGAAAAGAGAAGAAAGCTGGGTGGGGGATCAGAAGCACTGGGATGCAGAAAAGTGTTCAGACAAAGCTGGAGAAAACTGCCCATGAAATCTCTTCTTCATTTGTTTCTCTCATATGTTATGATATTCAGACAGTTTCTAGGTCTTGGAATTCCCCCACCTCCATCAGCTGTGATGAAAATACCCAATTCTTCTCGTGTGCATGGAGGGGACTCTGGATGCTCAGGTGAGGACAGAGAAAAGAACAGGGGAAGGTTAATGTAAATTGAAAGAACATATACATTCCTTGTAAGGGCTCATTTACAACAAATGGGGAGCAGACAGATTTTGAAAATGATTTTGCCTGCTGCTCAATGGGGCAAATGAGGAAAAGCAGAGGTCCCCCCAAAGAGACCAAATTTCTAAGGATAAGGACCACCCTCTCACTGCTATATAAGGTAGGTGAGGGTGAGCATGCACTTGAGCCCTTTGGGCCCAGATCACAGAACAGATGGAGTACCCAGTGCAGCTTCTGGGCAAAGGTGAACAGCAATGGATTTCTGCATAACTCACAGCTCAGAGGGTGTGGTGGTCAGGAGGCCAAAGCACTTGGTGTATCCCCTTGAATCAGTCCTGACACCTGGAAGGATACTGGTCCAAGGAAATGACTTGGAGAAAAGAAAGCTCTGCATGCACTAAATGTAAGGTCATATAGAACATTAAGGCAAGGAGTCCCAACTAGAGAGTGAGAATGGAGTGAGGCTTGGGCTGGCAGCCAGAGGTGGGAGACAAGAGCTTTTAAGGAAACAGGATATTGTGAAAAAGAGTGGAAAGTCGGTGAGCCAGGACAAAGCTTCAGTGAGTGACTACCATTGAAGCAAGCCAATCACAGAAACAGGAAGAGGGGGCATATGGAATTAAAGGGAGATGTTTCAAGGAGAAGCTCATCTTCTCCTTAGTTTAACATTATCAGAATCAGCAAAGAGCCCAGCTAGGAGGACCCAGGAGAGCTCCCCTACCTGGGGCTAGGAAATAAATGCATAGTGACTCTCCAGGGCCCTCCTTCCCAGTGGCAGAAATGTCAGGGCTGTTGTCAGAAGAGGGGTGCAAATACTTTGAACAAAGACACATCTCTTCTCTGGCTTTCTACCTTAGGGTCACAGGCAGTGGCACCAGTGACTGCTGAGGGTCCTGCAGGAGCTGCTCGGGATGCCAGCCCATGTCTAGCAGTTGCACAGGCCCACAGGCCCTCGGGGCTGTTTCAGAGCTCCACCACTGCCCTTCAGACAGCACTGAGTCTCATCTCCATGACCTCTCCGCGCAACCTGCAGCCTCACAGGGCTGCTCTGGCTCCATCGTTTGTGGAATTTGACATGTCCATGGAAGGTTATGGGTATGACAGTCTTTGTATACTTAAAACATACTTGATTAATTTCCTAAGGCCTCAGATGAGTTATGTTGATTATAAAATTGTAGTTCCCATCAGTTCTCATACTCAGCAGTGAACTATGTCTGGGCTGTGCACACCCCATCTACTCAGTGGCTTCTCAGGGCCAGTGTCCTCAGCTGTGTAGGGCCTGGACCCTCCTTCCCCAGGCATGTCTGCATTCTGGAATGTTCTCTCTTCCAGCCTCCGGTTTGGATTCCTTTTCTAGGACCATGGTACCGATATCAGCCACTTTCTATTGCTGGAATCTCTTGGTTTAAGAGAAAGTGAGGCCTCTGCAAAAAGACAGAGAGGAGTTGTCACAAAAAAGAGGTTGCCTTGAGCATCAATAATCTGAGACACTTTCTGTTTCCAGGTGTTTATTCATTCCAACCCTGTCTACGGTTATGGGAACCAGCACTGAGTACTCAGTCTCTGGAGGGATTGGGACAGGTGGGTGCTTCCCAGGGGTTTAGCTCAGCTGGGCTTTCCTCAATTCTGCCAGGGGGAATAAGCATGAGTTCTACATTGATAGCCATTCAGAAACAAGCTTGTCCTTGGCTCATGTAAGGATCAGCACAGGCCTTGGTATACTTTGCAATGTTGTCTTCAGCTGACAAACAAGCACCCTCTGTTAGGAGAACCAGGGTTTCTATGGGAACCTGGGTGCTGAGGAGCCATTCTATTCAGGGCACATCACTGTAGGGCACCAAGTCCGATTCTGCTCATTCACTGAGGACAGTGGGCCCTGCCTGTACTGCCAACCCTTTTCTGAGGTGGAAGGGCATGGATTTCCTTAGAGCGGAGCATTCTCCCTGCAGGGTTTAGCTGTCTGCCCAATGTAACACACTGCCTGGCTTTAGATCAGCTGACCAGTGAGCCAAATGGTGGCAGGCCTCAGGGTTGTGTCCCCTCTCCACTCCCTTGGCAAGGCAGCATGAAGTAATGGTTAGGACACAGTTGGGAAGAGTGTTTGAGGATCTAGGCTCATGTCCTGGTGAGAAAAGGACTTTTCCTGAGAGTATAAGTAATAACACAAGAGCATCCTACTGGGTATAGTCAATATAAAGTGGGCATGAGTCGGGGAGGTGCAGTAGGACCACTCTGGGTGAAATCAGAGCCATAGCTTATCTGGATAATCTTCCACAACAGGACAAATCCTAAGCACATGCTCGTGTTCTGACCACAGGTGCTGCCAGATCCTTCCCTCCACCTGGGGGCCTGACCTTTTCCTGCTGGTTCCTCATCAGCAGACATGGCAGGGTCACAGAGGGCCACCCACTGCGCTTCCTAACCTTGGTGCGCCACCTGGCCAGGACAGAACAACCCTTTGTCTGCTTCTCTGTCAGCCTCTGCCCAGAAGATCTCTCCTTGGTTGTGTCCACAGAAGAGAAAGAGTTTCAGCCACTAGGTAAGGCAGTGTGAATCAAAGCTAGTATCGCTTACATTTGGGGACACAAGACTAAGTCCACAGATCTTGGCACAAAGAGCCTGGGAACCTTACTCTCCTTCAGTAGTGTTAAGAGCAAGTCGCAGTATTGCTCTCACAGGCTGGCTCTCTAAGCTGTCTGGCATGTGATGACCTTAAGTGGCCTGAGATGGCCTAGCTCAGTGTATCCCAGCCACACTTCTCCTTCTAGTGGGCCCTGAAAGTGTCACTTTCACAGTGAAACATGAGAAGGCCCAGAGGATAGCTTGGCGTTTTTGACACACAGCACAACTGTCCTTTCCTCACTGCAAGGACTTTGCCAGCAAATGTGCATCACTATGGAGGCAGTCTGGTGTGGTGTAGACCTGAAGTTTGAACCCTGGCTGTGTGACCTTGGGCAAGTTACTTAACCTCTCTATAACTCAGGGTTGTTATGGAAATGAAATGAGCTGATATTTGTAACAAACCTGAAAATAATGTCAGACACAAAGCATGACCTCAGCAATGATAACTATTGTTGTCATCATTTTGTGAGTAGGGACATAGCCATGGCTCCTCTGGCATGAGGCCCCATTCTCCTGCTTGCCACAGCATGAAGTCACATGTGAGTTTGGAGTTTTTTCTTTTTCAGATGTCATGGAACCTGAAGATGTTTCTGAGCCCTCTGCGGGACGCCAGCTTCGGGTCAGGTGTGGCCAGCTCCTGGCTTGTGGTCAGTGGCATCACCTGGCTGTGGTTGTCACCAAGGAAATAAAAAGAAATTGTACCATTTCCACCTATCTGGATGGACAGGTCATTGGCTCAGCCAAGGTGAGATGGTTCCCCAGCTGTGCTTGCTCCTCCACCATGCCTCTGGGCCACACCTTGCTGGGTGGCCTTCCTTCAGCTATGGGTTTTCTTGGCAGTGGGGTTTGTATCTAGTGAAATCCTTTTGTTGTCCAGAACACATGACTAAACTCAGGAACAAAAAGGACATCTTTAAAAAATGTAATAAAGGTCACACAACTGGGGCAGAAGTTAAAATGCAGAAACAAGAATAGTCATAAGATAATATGTTTCCAGAGTAAAACACACACACACACACACACACACACACACACACACACACACACCCCTTTTTACATTTTAAGATATGAATTCCCCAGGGAGGTCTGAGCAGGGCCAAAGGTTGACTTTTCTAAAAGATTTCCTGGTGGGTCTGATGCAGCTGGTCTGAATTTTGCACTACACATAAGAGCAAGGTATAAAGACACCAACACATCTTGCCAGATTTAGAGAAAGAATGATCAGGAAAGGACAAATCCCCTGCTTAGAGAAGGTAATGGAGTGTGAACACATATTTGGAGGAAGCTTCTCATCACTAGCATTTAGACACCTGAAGTCCTGAGGCATAAGGGAGAGGAAGCTAGGAGATGAGGGGCCCGACAGTTGTGTTCCCACAGCCACTGGCAGAGAAACCAGAGAGGTGAGGGTTCAGAAGACCAGAGCGGGCAGGTTCCAGAAAGAGTATTTTAACCTAGGCTGCATTTTTGAGTCACATGGAAAGTCTCACAGGCTACATCCCAGATCAGTTACTGCAGAACCTCTGCGGGTGGAATAATGTTGTAATGTTTTTGAGGTTCCCTGGATGATTCTAATATGCAGCCAGAATGGAGAACCTTAGCTTAATAAGGTATCTCCATATCAATAGTACTGACATATGAGGACAGATAATTTTTTGTTGTGGGGGCCCATTCTATATATATTAGGACATTTAGCAACATCTATGGGTTTCCTTAGATGCCATAGCCTGTCCCTCTTCCCAGTTGTGACTATGAAAAATATCTCCAGATGTTTTCAGATGTCTGCTTTAGGGGCGGGGTAAGGCAAAATCACCCAGCTTGAGACTGATTAGGTTACAACAACCTAAATTCTATAGAACACCTAAAGATAAATTTGATGCTATCTTTTGGTAAAATTATGTTATAAAAACAAATGTCACTGGTAATTGGAATGATTTGGCAAGAGAATAAGAAAAACAGGTTCTCTAAAACAGAGTTAGCTTTTATTTCCAATCACTAACTGTACTAGTCCTTCCTTCCCTCCCTCATTACTTATCTATTGAGCAGTTATGATTATGTATTAAGTATTGGTCTAGGTGCCAGGAACTGTCCATGCCCACCAGTCAAATACCTCCAGGACTGTGCATATAGTACAAAACAAAAGTTAGACTTATTGAGGTTGCTGTAGCAAGAGATTCCTTACCTCACAGATTATAAGGAGTTAAAAGAGCCTTACATAGGATTTTGGCTTCTTTTAGGTGATTTTGGGGAGGATTCTGAATGGGTGCTATCAGAAAGAGAGGCCATTTGGTGTCTGTGTATGTTCAGCACTCTACCTAGGGAATGGGGGAAATGGAGCAGGGCCAGAGCTATCGCTGGAGAGGAAGCTATACTCACTGCTGTTAGCCAGCATGGTGTCTTTTTAAAAATCTGTTTAGGCATGATTACGGAGCGGACTTGTTTTTGTCTTTTTGTCCCCCACAGATAAGTTGCTATTCTGTAAAATAGTTCATGTACCTTGAGTCTAAGAGTGTGTCCTGTTGGTATTTGGACCGGCCTTGCATCTAGCCAGGGCCTGGCACACAGTAAACATGCAATAAACACTTGGGGGATTTCACTGAATTTACAGCCATAAAGTATAACATGGACAGGCTAATACTGTAGTTGACTGAATTGATACACGGATGAACATCATACCTCACAGGACAAGCTGAACCAGTCAGTCAGCAGGGTGGTTGGGAGTGATCTGACACCATGGTATACACCAAATATGCCAAAATATTCTATGGAGAGTGGCCAAGGCCCAAGGCTGAGGGACTTGACTTTCCAAGGTGATCTCAAGAAATTGGTAGTGATATCTGAGATAAATATAAAGGCCTGTGTTTAGATGCAAATATCTGCTGGGCAAGGATAATATGGGAGAGCTTGGGCTGGGATTGATGCAGTTTAACAATTATTCTCAAATATAAGAGCCTTTGATTTAATTTCTAAGGGAAGATAAGCTAAATTTAGAAAGATGACAGCCTGAATTGAACAAAGTAATGTGGGAGCAATTTAAAACACCTTAATTTTACAAGTTATTCTGAATGGTGCAATAAGAATTCACAATAGGAATTTAGGAAGAAAGGGGCAAGCTGGATTGGAGGGATGGGGCAGAGCTTCAGTGTGAGAGACAGAGAAGTCTCTGCCTGGCAGGGTGGGGAAGGAAAGAGGGAGCACCATGGATCCTACTCTAGGGAGGTCTGCTGGCTGGATACTTGGTTTATTTTTATTTGAAAACCTCATTGCATTGGTAGGGAAAATATGTATGAAAAATATATGACCTCTCATTTATAAAAATATGTATTTACACACATGTTAATAGATACAGTGATTTTATGGTTCTCATAAAAATAGTATCAACATATTTAGAAATAACTGAAAAATGAAGAAAAGAAAAAAGATTACCTATATTCCTTCTATCTTACCATAGTTTGTAGTTTCTTTCAGCTTTTTCCCTTTAATAAATAGTTGTAACTTTATTATACAAAAAATTTTATATACTATTTAGTTAACTTATACTATTATTTAAAAATTATCTACATGGACTTTGAGTTATTATTTTTTAAATTTGTGATAATGAGTTAATTATATTTCTTTTATTTTATTGAAATTTTTCTTGAGATAATTGTAAGCTAAAATGTAATAAATAATAGCTAGAAACCTTGGCACCTTTTACCCAGTTTCATCTGATGATAACACCTTGCAAAATTAGAGGACAATATCACAATCAAAATATTGACATTGCTATAATGTACTAATTTATTCATATTTCACCAGTTCTACTTGTATTGTGTCTGTGTATTTAGTACCATAATTTTATCATATGCATAGCTTCCTACATCTGCTACTACTGCTAAAATACAGAGCATTTCTGTTGCCACAAGGGTCCTGATGTTGTCCTTTCATAAAAGTTATAACCACACTTAGGTTCCTTCCAGCACTTGGCTATTGTAAATTGTGCTGCTATGAACATTGGGGTGCAGAGGTTCTTTTGGATTGGTGTTGCAGGGTTATTAGGGTATAATAACTGGATTGTTTGTTTTTTTACTGTTGAGGTTTAAGCATTTTTAAAAAATATATTCTAGCCCTGGCTGGTGTGATTCAGTGGATTGAGTGCCAGCTTGTGAACCAAAGGGTCACTGGTTTGATTCCCCGTCAGGGCACATGCCTAGGTTGCAGGCCAGGTCCCCAGTGGAGGAGGGGTGGGCATATGATAGGCAGCCACACAGTGATGTTTCTCTCCCTCTCTCTAAAAATAAATAAATAAAATCTTTAAAAAATATACCCTAGATATACTAGTCCTTTGTCAACTATGTAATTTGCAAATGATTTTTGCCAGTGTATATAGCTTGGCCTTAATCCTCTTTCACACTGACTTTTTCAAAGCCAAAATTTTATTTTAATCAAATATATTTTTTCAGTTTTTCTCTTACAGTTCCTTTTTTTGGTGTCAAGTCTAAGAACTCTGAGCCTGAAGATTTTCTCCTATGCCTTTTAAAAGCATTTCTCAGTTTTAAATTTTACATTCAAGTTTCTGATCAATTTTGCATTAATTTTTGTGTAAAGCATGAGTTTTAGGTCTATGTTTATTTCTTTACCCATGAATGTCCAGTTTTACCAGCACTGTTTGCTGAAGATGCCACTCCTCCACCATTGAATTACTTTTGAACCTTTGTTAAAAATCAGGCATATATCTTTTCTTTTATTTTTAAAGATTTTTTGTTTGTATATTTATTTTTAGGCAGAGGGGAAAGGAGGAAGAAAGAGAGGGAGATAAACATCAGTGTGTAGTTGCCTCTCAAGTGCCCCTTGCTGGAGACCTGGCCCACAACCCAGGCATGTGCCCACATTGGGATTTGAACTGGCAACTCTGGTTCACAGGCTAGTGCTCAATCCATTGAGCCACACCAGCCAGGGAGTTGGCATATTTCTATAGGTTCATTTCTGGATTCTCTATTTTAGTCCATTGATCTGCATGACTGTCCTCCTACCAATAGCATACTCTCTTAAATATTATAGCTATATAATAAGCCTTAATATTGGATAGACTAGTACTTAGCACTTAGTTTCTCTTTTTCAAAAAAAATCTATTTGTTTAAGCCATTCTAGAGCCTGTATTTTTTCATGTAAAATTTAGAATTAGCTTGTCTGTCTACAAAAAGTCTTCTGAGATTTTGATAGAATTTCATTAAACCTGTAGATCATTTTGGGGGGAAAGGATACCTCTATTATGTTAAGTCTTCTTATCCAGGAATATGGTATGTCTCTTCACTTATATAGGTCTTCTTTGATTTATTTTATCATTCTTTTGGAATTTTCAGGATACAGATATTATTAAACATTTCATTTTATTTTAAGCAATTGTAAATGGTACTGTTTTTAATTGTAGTTTTGCATGTTCATTGTCAGACTTGGAATGCAGTTGATTTTTGTGTGTTGATCATGCATCCTGTGACCTTGCTGAATTGACTTCTTAGCTCTGGGATTTTAGTTTTAGTTTCTGTTTTTTGGTATATTCCTGACACTTCCTACATGGATGTGTCATTTACAAAGAGAGAGAGTTTTATTTCTTTCTTTCCTATCTACATATCTGTAATTATTTTCAGTACATGAAATTAATGTCAGTCCTGGAATGTAGGTTCTTCTTGGATGACTGGAACAAAAAGATGAATGTTTCATGGGCTTTCAGTGTTCTTTTCAAATTTGTTCCCAAAGGGATAGTGTCACCCTTTTACTCCTACCAGCATTTTATAACTGTTTTTGGTACATTTTTCTCAGCTTTGAGAGTCATCTTTTTATTTTAGGTGAAATAAGTTTTTACTTTGAGGGGAATATAAAGTACATCATTTTATATCCATATATATTTATTTAATTAATTCCAAATTTAACCACCTTCCATCCTTTTTATTTTAGCAGATGTTATATATTCAGGCCTTACCAGGACCTTTCCTTTCAATGGATCCATCATCATTTGTGGATGTTTATGGATATATCGCTACCCCTCAAGTATGGAAACAGAAGTCATCATTAATATGGCGACTTGGCCCTACATACCTCTTTGAAGAAGCCATCTCAGTGGAAACTCTGGAAGTTATTAACAAACTTGGCCCAAGATACTGTAGCAACTTCCAAGCTGTGCATGTTCAAGGTTGGAGTGTTTTAATTTATAATTATCTTACTGATTTTATTTTAAAACTAGACACCCATTTATTTATAGCACATTTATAAAGAATAGAATCAACACAGGTCAGTTATTGGGGAAGACCTCTGTAATTGGATCATTATATATTTACAACGCAACAGAAATGTCACAAAAAGGGGAACTGACAATATCCTTCATCTTTCAGCTTCAGAGCACATAATGGAGAAGAGTGGGTGGGTAACACCGTCAGCAAAGAAAGAGAAGAGAATGAGATAAATGAGTTATATTCCTTTTAATGAGGGAGCGTTTTAACTAAAGTATACTGTTGTTTTCAATTATTAAACAGGCAGACAAAACATCCACATTTTCATTATTGATTGTTGGCCGCTCCAGCAGGGAGCATCGCTCTTTGTGCTCCATCAAGTTAAGGGGGTCAGCGCCCATGTGGGAAAAATGATAAGTGCATCTATGTACAGAAGTCTTGTGTATGAAGAGCAATGAAGAGCTGTTGAGTGTTTCCTTCTCTAGGTCCCAGGTCTTTTTCAAACTTATTTCCTCTGGCAAATTGCACTGGTCAGAACAATGTGACAGGTGAAGTCTATAACCAAAGTTTCACTGACTCTCTGGTCTTACCATGCTTCTCAAGTCAAATATGTGGCTCTCCTTGATGCAGGGACCAGAGTGCTAATTCCAAGGGGGATGTTTCCCATGGATATTCAGTTCACTGAAAATCTTAGGACTTTCAGTCCAGCCTGTCCCTCAGTTTTTATAAATAAGCTTTCTTATCATTTGTCATTTTGGTTTGGGGAGCAAGATTACCTCCTTGATAGGCGTTTCAAGTCTACTAATAAGCCTCTATATTAGAGGCTTGGAATGCCTCTATAATTATGGTAGAATTAGCATTGTGAGATTTCTCCATGATTTTTTATAAGTGTTAAGGAAACACAAGTAGGGGCAAAACATGAGACATATGAGCATTCAACACACAAGCATACAAAGTTAAAACCTGTAACCACATAGCAACATACAATAAAACAAGATACCAAAATTCTCTGGATGATTACTTTGCCATATATCAGTAGACATTTACTTTTATGAGGGCTGATTTTCTTCTCCATACAGTGAGAATAGAAATAATTGAAGTTTGTTGATTTAGGTGAGGGCACTGGCACAGAAGGAGCACCCCTGGTTGCAGAGGAAAGAGTTTCCTTTGGCCTTCACGTAGCCAGCTCCTCTACCACCAGTGCTGTGGACATCAGAAACACATACAATGAGGTGGACAGCCGCCTGATTGCCAAAGAGGTATGCCTTCAACATCACTTGCTGCCTTCAGAATCATGATCTTATGGCTTGGTGTTCAGTTTTTCATGACCGAGTAAATGATAATGTTTGCACATGTGGAGGTGAATACATACAGGAGTGCTCCCTACTTCATTTATTAAAGTATTCTATGACTCCTCACCCATTAACTTCCCCCAAGACTAACCCTTTTATTTGTAATTGCTCAGAAAGGAAAATAGATGCTCTTCACTCTTCATGGTAGAGCTAGAACAAACAGAATATTTAAAAACCTTTGTGACATGGAGAGCACTAGGTAGCTTCCCTTTTTGGAGTGCTGCCAACCCCCGCACATTTATACAGCAGACTGTCCTGTGAATTGCTCTGTTTATTTTAAACAATGAACTTATGAAACAGCAAGCAGACATGTCTGTAAGTGAAAATGCCATTAGATGCACTATTCCCTAATTCCTGTGTAAGAACCCTTTGCGTACTGCTGATGAATTTTGGCTGATGTCTTTCCATTCTCTCCACCTTCCCAGACATAGGGCCACCTCCCTTTACTAAAGACAAGGGGTCAGGAATTAAGTTCTATTGAGCTCCAAAGAAGTGCCTCCCTGGGAGAGTTCCTACTGATGGAGGATGCCAGGATTCTCATTTCACTTGCTCTCTGAAACCAGATAGGCTGAGGCTTGCAGAGACTGGACAACCCTAGCCTGGGAATAAGGCAATGCTGGTCTTTGTAGCACTGTCCACCTCCAGGTGTCCTAGGACCCCTCTCGCCCCTGTTAGCTCCTCACTGTGAGTATGTTGGACACTAATGGCACAATTGTAACCAAAGCTGCTCCTTCAATTAAGCCACAGCTTAAGAGACACAACACAAGAATCTGAATTTTGGTTTCAGTCTGCCTGTCATTGGTTCTATTATTATTCATTTACTGAGCACCAGCACTGGGCCAGGACTTGGGGTGCCTATCCTCCAGGAACTTATAAATAAGACCTCTTCCTTTACAGAAAAGAATTTCAGGACTAACTGTTACCAATTTCTCTAGATGAACATTTCATCCCGTGACAATGCCATGCCCGTGTTCTTGCTAAGAAACTGTGCTAGCCATCTCTCGGGTTCTCTTCGAACCATTGGAGCTGTGGCTGTGGGCCAATTGGGTATGTCAGGCCATGAACTTTTTCTGTTATTTGGGAAGAAGCGTTTGCAGATATCTTCACTTGTGCAGCCTGGAATTCTGAGTGGCAGTCAGTTCAGAGCTTGTTGGTCAGTGAGGGAAGAGTTGGTAAGATAAACCTACTGGAGAATTAACTTCCCACACTGAATGATGTCAGCTCACTTCGCTGCCTATGACAGTTGGTGGTGAACTCAGTTACTAGCAAGACTGGCATCTATGAACAATGGAACCCATCTAGTGAGCACAGTATGGTCTTGTATAGAAGCATTGGTTTTTGGAGTGAAAACAGTAGCCAGTTACCATCAAAGCAGTGAGCTGGTGCAAGTACCCAGCCCCACAGGATCTAGAGAGCAAAGGGTGTCAGAAGAGCCAGCACAGACTGAGGGTCAGATGGCATCTAAAGCATCTGGCTCCTCCCATACTTTAGACTGAGATAGAGGGGAGTGGTCTGAAATCCCTTGGGGTATTTCAGCCTTTGGTGACACAGGAAGGACTCAGAGTAGCTCCCTCCTCTTCCTTCTAGCCTGTCCCATGTGCACGGGCTCCTTTGCTAAGAGTGGTGAGTGGCTCTGGCAGCTCATTTACCCAGTATGCTATTGGGAACTTTTCATTGCAATGAAGCTCTGACTACTGATGGAATGCTCTTTTGTCCCACACAGGGGTAAGGGTGTTCCACTCCAGCCCTGCTGCCAGCAGCCTGGACTTCATTGGTGGGCCTTCCATCCTCCTGGGCCTCATTTCCTTAGCGAGAGATGACCACACCATGTATGCAGCTGTGAAAGTCCTGCAATTAGTCTTGACCAGCAATGTCATGTGTGACCGCCTGATGCAGCACATCTGTGGGTACCAGGTAATCCAGCCCTTCCCTCTGAGTCTCTGACTCCCCCAAGGAAAAGGGAGGAGCTTCTCTTGCTCCAGTGGATATTCCCTCCACAGTGACTTCTGGAGAAGGGAAGCCTAAAACCCCTGGGTCCTGAGACTCTGGAGACTCTGGCCCACAGAAGAGAGTCAGGTGACAGCCAGCCAGGAAGACACTTTGATCTAGATGGGGATGCATATCTGTCTGTGTCTACCAGCAACTTTTACTAACAAATTCAAGAATCATTCATTGTCCTCCACTGTGTCTGGCGTGACGGCCAAAGAGACTAGGCCATGAAGCCAAAGTATGAGGTTTGAACCCACCTTACCCTTTAACTTGCTATTTAATTCTGGGTGAGTTACTCAGCTTCTCTCTCTCTGTTTCCCCACCTCTGTGATACAGACTCTTGTGCCTCCTGTATCATGGGGCTGCAGGGAGGACTAAATAATTTAATACAAGTGGAGGACTTAGAATTATGTCTGGTCCAGAATAAGTGCCCTGTAAATGTTCAACCCCTTTAGTCCTTAATCTCTCTGTTTCTCAGGGTTCCCATATGTAAAATGGGGATTATAACAGCACCTACTCTGTAGTGTCGTGATAATTGAGTTAATATGTGCTGAGTGCTTAGAAAAGTGTCTGCTCAGAGTGTCTGCTGTTTGTGTTCACTGTGACTGTTATTGCTATTTATTGTTCACAAAGTCAGATGACACTGGTCATAGCCCTGGGGTACCTTCCTGAATGACTGGGAGGTAACCATGCAGGGAATCACCAGGAGCAGGCCTAGGGTGCAAGTCTAGACAAGGTCAGGGGCACAAAGGCCACAGTGTTTCTTCCTGGTGCAGGGGGGCTGGGAAAGAGCATCCCTACTCTTTGGCACCTAGGCCAGGGTCTGAGCAGAAGAAAGCAGTGTGATGTCACTTCTGGTACATTCTTCTCCCCTGGACTTCTGCATAGCTGAATAGAGGCCCCTTCTTCCTGCTGTTCCTCAAAACCACTGATACCAGGCACAGTCTGCAGTGTAGACCTGGTGATACTTCTCCCCTGTGTGCATTCTTCATAGGCATCAACAGCTAACACAACATTCCAGGCTCAGGATTCGTTTCTAAAGGCCTTCAAAACTGCCTGCCGACCTGTCCATCAACCTACCCCCAACCCAGCCAACATTTCCTGCCTGGAACTCCTACCTGCAAAATTGTGCACAGTTACATTTAGTTAAATGTACCATGTGACTTGGTGTACATGTACCCTGGGTTTAGAGTGCCACTCCTCTTTCCCAGGTACACTTATTTGTATCTTCCCAGCCCCTGAGCTAATTGTGTGGCCATCTCTGGCCTCCTGTGGCTCTGTGTGATACCCAGTGCTAACCATGCTCACACAATGCTGCTCTTCTCCACTAGACTGTGATTGTCTAAAGTCCTGGGCATTTACAGGAACTAGTACGAGGGACACATGGACATAAACTAAGGGGGGGTGGAAATGGGAGGGAGGTGGGGAGCACAGGGGGATGGGCTGGGATGGAAGTAAAAAGCAGAAACTGTACTTGAACAACAATTAAATAAGTAAAATTTTAAAAAGTCCTGGGCATTTCTTATTTGTTGCCAGAGTATTGCTGAGACCAAACAGATACTCTGTAAATATTTTGTTAGTAAGTGAATGGGTATACTTGGGTTTATATTAGAACTGAAAATTTGGGATTTTTTGGTATATGGAAGTTTTTTTAATTACTTAAAGTAATTGGATTTGTCCCAATTTAGCACTTAGATATTGGCTGTGGCTAGAGATTTTAATAATTATTATGAGCATTTTTTGTAACCAAAAAGTTACAAAGCAATTTCTGTTGTCATGAGTATATCAAGAATGATGAAACTGGACAAATACCAAGATAATTTTAGTATAAACTTATTGTGTACCAGAGTCTCTTCTAGACCACCACACTCTGTGACTCAGTGGTAATGCAGCCATCTTCCCAGAAAGTCTGAGTACTGTAGAGAGCTGGGACTCTTTGTGCTCACTGCTGTCTCCTTACTGCCAAGTATAGAACCTGGAATATCATGTGTTCTTCACAAGTGCTTGTCACATGAACACAGTGCCTTGAGAGAAAGAATGTGCCACAGAGCTGCAAAGGTGGCTGATGTCACATAAAGGTGAGATGCCAAAAGATGTTCATTAAAAAGAAAGGCAATTGGAGGAGGACCAGGGCACTGGGTTAGCTGAGTTTATGGAGGAGATAGTAGAGGCAAGGAGCAGCCCACAGATTTACCTACTCAGTTCATGTTGACTGACTATTACCTAAGAGCCTGGCACTGTGCGAGGCTCAGGGAGACAAGTGAACAACATGGGTTTACTTTCTTCTTCTCTGGAACTTATTGTCTTAGTCTATTCAGGCTGTTATAACAAAATCACCATAAACTGTGTGGCTTATAAACAACCGAAATTTGTTTCTCACAGTCCTGTAGGCTGGGAAGTCCAAGATCAAGTTGCCAGCAAATTCAGTGTCTGGTGAGAACCTACTTCCTAGTTCATAGATGGACTCACAAGGTAGAAGAGGCAAGGGAGTTCTTTATAAGGACACTAATCCTACTAAAGGCTCTACTCTCATGACCTAATTACCTCCCAAAGGTCCCATCTCCTAATACCATGACATTGTGGATTAGGTTTCAACATATAAATTTTGTGGGGGCATAAACATGTATTTTACAGCACTGTCTAATGGGACAGACAGAAAAATATTATTATCACGAGACAAAGACTTCCAAATACTTCATGTGAGTAAAGAACCTATCAGATTCAGGGATTTATTGTACCTTTACAATGGTGCAGAAGGAGGAAATTTATAAAATATTCTTATGGCTTAAAAAAGAAACACTTCAAATATTTATGTCTTCATGGAAAAGCAGAAGGAGAGGCTAGGCAGTGGTGGTGGGGGGGAATCCCAGGTTTACATAAAGAAACAAGATTAGCATTATTTTTTTGTCTCCTTTGCCTCTTTATAAAGCAGTGCCCACATCCTACCTCATCCTTTTTTAGACACATTTTCTTACTTTCTTTTTCTTCATAACCTTCATGCCCAGTTGGCACAATCTATATGTGCTTGTGGTCTGCTTTGCCCCATAGACACAGGCTCCCTGAGGGTAGGACTGGTCTGCTTGCTCATTGCTGCACTTGAAGAGCAGATGGTGGGCAGCAGGTTTTAATAAAGATTTGTGGAATTAATCAGAGAATTATAATAAGGGTATTCAATTACACAGTTTGCTCAGGAGTGGATTTAATATTTTTTTTTAGATTTTTACTTTGTAAAAAGTAAAAAAATTACTTTAGATTTATTTGCTGATTTGTTGATTGGATGTGAGAGCACAATGAGAGGATAAATTTTTCTATTTGTTATTTCTATCAAACTTATTTATTATCCTCTTCTCAGACTAGGTGACATCCTGAGTTTTATAAGATAAATTTTCATAGCATGGTAAATAAGAAGACTGGCATTCCAGACTCACATAAAAAGTACACTTGAAGTTCTTCCTCATGGTTGGGTAGAGAGGGAGAGAAGGACCAGAAATCTGACACTCCAGGAAGCAGGGATTTTTAATTTGGAAATGATGAGTAATCATAGGAAGATTTGGGACAAGGAATGAAATGATTAATGCTTTAGAATGACTTTTGACACCAGTGTGAAGGATGAGTCTGAGGGGGAGATTGGAGTAGGAGAGCAAGACAGAACACTATATGCTGTGAAAACTGCATCCTGGAGAGACTGGGACCCTGAAGGAGTCTGGGAAGACAGCAAAGGGGAGCAGCTGGGGCTGTGTGAGACATCAAAAGTAAAATATCAAGTGGGATAGATGGCTCAAGCTCAGAGGGACAAGCTAGGCTGGAGGTATAAATGTGAGTTATTAATATCATCATGATGCTATTTAATTCAAGAAAATTGATGAAATAGTCAAGAGGAGTAGAGAGAATAAAGGAGAGGACTAAAGAAAAAGAAACAAAGAACTAATCATGTAGAGGTTAGAAATGATTAAAACTCAATGAAGGAGATTGAGAAGAACGAAGTAAGAGAAACTAAAGAAAAATTTGCCAAAGAATCTGAAAGAAGAAAGTATTTTGAGAAAGCCAATGTGGTTAACAGAACAAAGCAAAATAAGGAAATAGATGTCTCCATTGGACTTGGCAACTGAAAGTCACTGGTGACCTTTTTAAGGCAGATGGATAGGTGGAGGCAGCAACCAGGTGAAGGGGGTTGAAGAGAGAAAGTAAGGTGAGGATATAGAGTCCGTGTGGTCATAGTGCTTTCTAGAAATTTGTTAATGAAGAAGAGTAGCAAAATGGGGTGAGAGCTAGAGGGATTAAGGTTCAAGGGAGAAATATTTCAAGAAGAGAAATACTAGAGCACATATGTTGGTGGAAGTGATGAAGAGAGAGAGGGAGAGAGAGAGATGGGTAAAGTTAAAAGAAGAAAGTTATGTCAAGAAACAGTGTCCTTGAGAAGGTGAGGAGTGGGATTTAGAGGCCAGATAGGAGACCTTGATTGTGAGAGGAAGGAATGCAATACAGGCCTTTATTGATAAGGTGTTTGGAAAGTGAGAGTGGCCACGTCTGACAGTTTCATCTTCTCAGCAGAGTATGAGGTAAAGGGTTAGAAGGGAAGGAAGGTTGAGGAAGGAAGAAGAAATATCATTGACTTTAGGGCAAGGAAAACCAGATTGCTAGAAAAACAGATTTAGACTGCCAGGACAAATTGAGTACCCATTTCATATTTGACACTAATAATGTAAAATGAAACCAGCCAGCCTGAATGTGATTTTTCTCAAGCAATCTTTAGCCATCCTAATTATATTCTGATGGGGGAGGATGGAGTGGTCAGATTTCAGATATGTCAAAGAGTCGATAAGAACAATATAAGATATTGAGTATTTGATTATCACAATTGTCTTAGCAAGTTTGAACTGCTATAACAGAATACCATAGACTGTGTAACCTATGAACAACAGAAATTAATGTTCTCATAGTTCTAGAGGGTGGAAAGTTCATGATCAGGTGCCTGCATGGTCAGGTTTGGGTGAAGGCCCTCTTCTGGACTCCAGATGGCCAGTTTCTCACTGAGTCCTCACATGGCAGAGAACAGAGAGAGGAAGCAAGGTCTCTTGTAAGGACACTAATCCCATTTGTGAAGGCTCTACCATCTTAACTTCATCTAATCCTAACTACATCACAAAGGACCCACCTCCAAATATCATCATGTTGTGGGGTAAAAGTTTCAACCTACAGGTTTTGGGAGACACAAACATTCAGTCCATGATAACTAACAGGACTTCCCAATGGCACAATGAAAGAGTGTGTCTGAGAGGATATGGAGAAGGGAGGGATGTGTTACACCCATGCACAGGGAACTGAGCTGTGGGAAACCTGAGCTGAGAATTCAGATGGGATGAGTGAGAACCCAGTTACCAGTGGATGGCTATATAGCCTGACTTTTGTGACTGAGGCCAACAGAAACAGGAGGCCTAGAGTGATCCACCTTACTACTCTCTAAGACTGGTCTGGGCCATGGGGATTCCAGAGCCTCCCTCCTGTATGGGTGCCTGCATGGTGCTGGTTTCCCAGGGTCTGCACAGCAGAATGACATATCTGGTGGCTGCAACTGAAGTGATATTGGGTGTAACTGAGTTCATGGGTTGTTGGTGCCTTTCTGGTGATAGCAGCACTTATGGGATGGTTATGAATATAGGATCCATTTAGGTACATAAGAAGGAACACAGAGATGGTGGAGGAGACAGAGAGTGAGAGAGAGAGAGAGAGAGAGAGAGAGAGGGAGGGAGGCATTGAGGCATTCGGGAACACAGAGGAAGAGATTTAGGAAGAATGGCTCCCTACTGAGAAGGCAAGTCACATAGGTACAGAATGGTGGCCACTAATGGGGAAGCAACCACAGGAGTTGGCACATGTTTTTTCTTCTGAGCCCACAGGAACAAGGAGGTAGCCCTGAAGAGCAGAGGGGTTCAGACCAGGCTTACCAAAGATGATGGGACAAGCAGGTGGGGAACAGAGTCCTGACACTACACTCATGTGGAGACTGCTTCCTGTTTTAACCTTTCCAGATACTGGCATTCCTCCTGAGGAAGAATACCTCTCTTCTAAACCATCGAGTTTTTCAGCTGATCCTCTCCATTGCTGGCACCGCAGAACTGGGCTTTGGGTCATCTGCCATCACCAATGTTGGTGTTTTTCAGCACATTCTCTGTGATTTTGAGGTAAATTGGAGATGGAATTTGAATTCCAAAGTAATGTGAGAAGGTTAAAAAAAGTCAGGAGCTTCCTTTAAACCTAGCATGTTGGCTTCCTCAATAGTTATGATGGTTATAAGAGGGAAAACCTCAAAGACTTTGGACTATAGGGGTCCTGGTTTATAATGAAATCCTAACACCAATGGGCTATGTGGCCTTGGAAAAATCTCTTGACTTCTCTGAGTTACAGTTTTCTCAAGCATGAAATAAAGATCATCATCTTTAATAGGCTAGTGTGCATGTCAAACCAGATAGTATCTGAGAAAAAAATTTAAAACTGTAGGATAATTTATATGTTTAAAAAATATATTTTCTGCCCTTGCCAGGTGGCTTAGTTGGTTGGAGTGTCACCCCTTACACCAAAGGGTTGCAGGTTTGATCCCCAGTTGGGTGCGTATAGGAGGCAACCAATCTACGTTTCTCTCTTACATTGATGTTTCTCTCTCTTTCTCTTTCTCTCCCTTCCTTTCTCTAAAATCAATAAAAAAAACAAAACATATCCTTAGGTCAGGATTAAAACATATCTGTGTGTGTGCATGTGTGTGTGTGTGTATAATCTGCCAGTTCTTTTGAATGGCGTCTTGCTGTTCACAAGGGCTCCTTTGAAGGAGTGACTGAGAAATGCTGAGGGCATGCCTCAGGCCCAGAGAGGAGTTTTGCACAAAACTTTGGGTAGATAGATTCATTCAGGAGGCATCGTTTACTGAGTGCACACTGGGATCAGGTATGGAGGTATCCTGGAGTCATGGTGATAACAAGGATGCAGCCTCTCCATACAGCTTCCTGGGCTTGGGACACAACAAAGGTGACATACAATGTGCTGAGTGTGAGGGGGACAGGCACAGGGCTTCTGGAGGGTGGGAGTGAAAGAACACTCAGTCAGCTTTACAGATTGGGGACCCTGGAGCTGAGCCTAGCAGAGTTCATGCAGTGGGGGACATTCAAGGCAGAGTACATGTTATTTGCACACATGTAGGGATAAAAAAGCCAGGGGGGATTGAGAGCAAGTGGCTTGGAGAGTACCTGTCAGGGAGTTGTTGAAAATAGACCTGAGGCTGGAGGGGGAGGGTGAGAAGACAGGTTGAAGATGCTAAGCTGCAGGATATGCATGGTAATCAATATATGAGAGTGTGCTGGAGTCCATGGAAGTATTTTAAAAACTGTTTTCTAAATTAAAGATAATGTAGTCTTACTACAGAATACTTTAAATAAGAGAAAAGTGGGGGAAAAACTCATATTTCTGAGACCCAGACAATTGTTGTCACCCTTGAATGTATCATTTCTTAACTCTCTGTGCATACTATTATATTTTTTATCATAGTCATACTCTTAGTGTAGATATTATTAGTCCCACCTTTTGCCATATAACATAAACATTTAAAAAATTTATTACAAACTTTTATGAGCATTGTTCTGAGGTCAGAATATAATCTGTGTGGTATCTGGTTTTTCATAATTCCCCTGTTGTCAAATTCTCCAATTACTTCTACATATTGTTATGATTGAATGCTGTTATACATAATATTTTTGTACGTATATTCTCCCTATGTAAAAATTCCTTAGAATTACTAAAGTCTTTTATTATAATTTTTTATTGTTGTTCAATTACAGTTGTCTCTATTTTCCCCCATTACTCTCCCCTGTCTTGTCCATGCAGCCCTCCTCATTTAACCCTCCCCCACCCTTGTCTTTGTTCATGGGTCCTTTATACATGTTCCTTGATGACCTTCCCATTCTTTCCCCTATTATCTCTCCACTTCCCTCTGGCCACTGTCATTTGTTCTTAATTTCCATGTCTCTGGTTATATTTTGTTCACTTGCATTGTTGGTTAGGTGCCACTTACAGGTGAGATCATATGGCATTTGTCTTTCAATGCCTGGTTTGTTTCAAAAATATAATAAATTTGAGATTGTTGATAAGGTTTGCTACACTTCAGCTACCTAAGGATGTTATTTAGATAATCAAAATTTTATTTTAGGTCTATTACTCAGGTGGCAAGAACCCTAGGCAGGGAGATGGGTCATGAGACTGCTACAGAAACCCAGGTGGATGATTTTGAAACATGAATTGCCACAAAGGCAGTGAGATAAAAAGGATTAATGAGGATCATAATTCAAATTAGAATTGGTTTCTATAGAACTGAATAACAAGGAAAATAATATATATCAAAACACTGTGGGGGCACTGCTGAAAGCTGGAGGTGGAAGAAAATTTATAGTCATCAATGTCCATATTAGAAAAGAGAATACTTTAAATTAATGAACAGGGGCTTCATATAGAGAAGTTAAAAGAACTGAAAAACAAACAAAAGCAAAAACAAAATAAGAATAAAAATACAAAAACCCCAAACAAAAAAACAAACCAAAACAGATTTCCAAGAAAGAAAGAAGGAATAATAAAGATGAGAACATTATGTATCTAAATAGGAAAGAAACAAACAAAGAAAAGATCATTGAAGCTAGTAACTGGTTCTAATAGAAAGAAGACAGGAAGCCCTGGCTGATATGGCTCAGTGAATTAAGTGCTGGCCTGCGAACCAAAGAGTTGCAGCTTCAATTCCCAATCAAGGCACATGCCTGGGTTACAGGCCAGGTCTCCAGTAGGGGACATGTGAGAGACAGTCACACATTGGTGTTTCTCTCCCTCTCTTTCTCCCTCTCTTCCCTTATCTCTTAAAATAAATAATTAAAATCCAGGCCCAGGACTGCAGAGAGGTTCTACTGGCCCTGGATCTGAAGATGAACTTAGGATTGTGAGGGAAGACAGCAGGGCCTGGTATGTGCACAACAGGAAAAGAGGCGTGCACAAGTGGCTCTGCTACAGGAATGAGTGGACAGCATGCCCGGTCCAAAATGCTGTGTTCATGCTGAGGCACCATGGCACCCCAGCCACCAGCCTGGCTCAAAAATGACTCATACAAAACCCCTCATACAGGCTCCCACTGCCCGCTCCTGAAATGACAATGGGCATTACCCTCTCTGAGTAAACTATTTCTTCGGGTAAGCTCGTGCTTTTAAAGCTGAGGTTAAGAATGAAAAACCCAAGTAAAGCAAAATGAAATAAGGTAAAATAAAAATTTGAGAAAATATTGAAAAGAAAGAGTTTCCCAAATATATTTCTACATCAAGTAAAATAAGGGCAGAGATGTGTACATTGCATTTGGAGGTCAGCGACAAGCCTAATAAAAAGTAAACACTAGGGTCAGAAGTCAGGTGAAGAGTGGGGAGGAGGATGGAATCAGAGACAGTTTTTTGAAGAAGAAAAGAAAATAGAGGGGAGGAGTTTCAGGACATAAGATAGGAGCTGAGTCTGGCTATAGGCTAAGGAGGAGAAAGTAGTGGGAAAGGGGTGGTTAAAATACCAAGAGGGAGAAACTACTATTGATGGCACAAGTCCTTAAAGAAGAGGGAGGATTTGGAGATAAGTAAAGGGGTTACAGGAGGAGGGGTGGGGTCCTCGATGACTGGGACAGACGGCTGAGAGGGAGGAGAGACATGAAGTTGAGGGCATTCAAGTCTTAGGCTTTTGGTTCTTTGAAGAAGAGACAGGCTGGTGCATTCTGGCCTGTGAGGTGATCTCAGGTGGGGAGAAGGTACACTTAGACACATTATTTATTTGATATTTAAATAAATCAGGCATCTCAATAAAGTCCTTACTAAACAGGTTATATGACAGGAAAACAAGCAAAAGATCCAATTACCTTCATGTCCCAAAATTTAGATACTTGGTGTTATGTGAAGTAATTTCTAAAAGAGCTATCAGCATCAAATGTGCTGTGGAAATGTCATAGTGTTCTAATGTTCTGGAAAGCAAATCAGGGCTGTGCTGTGGTGGGAAGGGGAAGGGGCCCAGCAGCATACTAGATTGGTAGGTTCATGTTTTTCTGTCTCTCAGTTCTCAACATGGAGCTTGGTGTGTCATGTGTTCTGTAACTCCCTTTGTGAGTGAATATTCCAAGCGTGAAGGGCTCTTGGCATCCTACTGATGTGTACCTTGAGGTGCCATGACTGTCACCCCTCCCCCACTGGAGCCACATCAGCCACACAAGCTCTCCCATGGCAGCTGTCCTACCTTTCCGTGCTCTGAGCAGTGACTGTGCTTACAGGGGATGGAAATCTGCCAGCTTGTTTCTGGCTTAGAGAAATAAATTTATTTCACCCTGATTTTTCTTGCATTTGCTCTTTAAAAAAATTAACAAGTTCTTATTAAGTGCTCACCATGAGGTAGATGTGATGCTAGGCCCTGGGGATTGCAGGGGGTGGTCTCAGCCCTCATGGGCCTCATGATAAACTTGGGTCCACTGAGACTCTTCTACTTTTCCTCCTAAGAGCATAGCCATGGCCACCTGCTTCATTCAAGTGAGGATGATTATTGACCCTATGGGTTACACTCTACATATAGCTGATTGGGGAACACAGTGAGGGGGCAAGAGGATGGGCTCCATGGGTGGACAGACCAGGCTTATCAAATGTGCCAATTGATAGATGGTTGTCAGGCAAGTTACTTACTGTCTCTGAGCCTCAATCTTCTCATCTACTAAATGCAGGTATCATTTTAGGACTTTGTGTGACACTTTTTACCTCCCATAAATGGTGTAATTTGTAAGTGTGAGCTCTTTTTGGTGTTAGATGAATGCCCTGTATAATCCCACATCTGAATCCTCTACATTTACAGTATTTAGAGATATGAAATAATAGAGCTCTCTAAAAGGGGTGTATAAATAAGACATGAAGGCTCACCATCAACTTGGTCCTAGAGGACAGTTAGCAGCTGCATTTTGTTTACTCTGAATAAAAACAACCTGAGTGATAACCTTCACTCTGGGAATCTTAGTGCATTTCACATCTGTGTCACTCAAAGTTCTGTTGTACAGAAGGGAAAGTGGGCTGTGCTCAGGTTTTATGAAGAAAGTGTTGCATGCACAAACTGGGTGTGTAGTTGCTATACCACAAAACCAGAAAAGTGAGATGCAGCTTCTAATTTCTGATTCAGGCAGAAACAGAGATGAGAAGACAAGAAATGATGTTTGAGCTTTCCCCCAGGGCTGGAGCCCTTTATATTCTGTCTGCAAGAAATTTGATCTGATTCCAGAGGTGAAAAATTGTGTTAGTGATTCCAAGTGAAAGAATACTATGTCTAGCACATTATCTGTTCAAACTTCCTGGAAACCCCCTTTTTTCACACATGCCCTGGTTTCACTGTGTGGTTTGCTGTCTTCTAGCTCTGGATGAACACTGTGGACAACTTGGAGCTCTCCCTGTTTTCCCACCTTGTGGAAATCCTTCAATCACCAAGGTAGGTTGGGCTTTGGCAGCTTAGGCCTTAGAGACAAAGGCTTCATGCTAAGAAAAGGGACTGAGAGAGCAGGATGGCCATTGGCTGAGTAACCATGGTCCCTGCCCACTCCCAGAGCACTCAGTCTCTTGATGGCAGCATGTCTGTCTTAAACAGTCCAGGCTTCTATAACAAAATACCACAGACTGGGTGACTTATGAACAACAGAAATTTATTTCTCACAGTTTTGGAGGCTGATAGATTTGGTGTCTGGTGAGGACCCCACTTCCTGGTTCATAGATGTCTGTCTTTAACAGGTTGACTGTCTGTCAACCTGTTAGAAGGGACATGGGAGCTCTCTACTGCCTCCTTTATGATGGCACTTATCCCATTCATGGGGCATCATCTTCATGACCTAATAACCTCCCAAGGCCCTACCACTGAGGGTAAGGCTCCAACACAAGAACTTAGGGGGGTCACAAACATCCAGTTTGTAGCAACACCCTTCCCAGTGGTTCATGTACGTGGGGCACGTCTGTGTTCCCTGCTGTTTTGGGGCCTTAGAAGGCAGCTTTCTAGCCCTGGCAACTAGCACCTTCTCAGGGCTCAGTAAGTGAGGCCAGTAAAAGAGAACCCATCTGCCTCCCGGCTCACTATCCCTCTAAGTGACCTCTCCAAGTCACTTTTTGAATTAGTCAGGGCTCTTTTGGTTGCAAGTGGCAAGACTACAGTTCAAGCAACTTAGGGAAGAAAGAAAGGGAGAGAGAAAGAGAGTGGAGAAAGAAAGAATTCATTGCTTATACAATTGAATGGGGCAGATCTTCAGCTATGGCTGAAGCATTCATAGCACTTTTTCTGAGATCTGTCACTGATGTTGTCCTGGCTTTCTTTCTTGCCAGTGTCATTCCAGCAGACCTTATGTGGCAGCAAGGTAGCTGCTGGGCTCCTCAGAGCACATCCTCTGCTCAGCACAGTCCCAGAGGGCTTCTTTTTACTCCATAGTCCTAGCAATAGGATGAAGTTTTACAGGGCCACTTGCGGTCACTTGGCCCAGCTGGGAGCATGACTTCACCTCTGGGGTAGGTGGAGGGGAGTTAAAAGTGTTTCCCAAAGAAAACGAAAGGCTGTGATCAGAATAAGGGAGAAGAGAGGCAGGGAAGCCAACATATGAACTTTCCATTTCACATGGCTCCTTGGTGCTACAAGTTCAGAGAAGAACAAGATACAGTCCCAGGGAGAAGAAATACAGACAAAATGGCCTGCTCAGTGCCGTGATGAGAAAGCTCATGAAAGACACTGAGGCTTATAAGCAACAGACACACCACACACAGAACTGGGCTGCTCTGCCTTTTGTGCATCAGGGATGTAAAGGCCTGCAGAATTTAGCATGTTAGAACTAAATGGAAGTTCAAGAAGGAAGAATTCACCAAAATTATCCTTCTTCCACCTCTTTGTCTTTCCCCTTTTCCACTTTCTCTCTGTATCTGTTGTTTTCTAAGAGGTAGGCATTTACTCTGGTAGCTGTTTTCTTGGGCGGGGGGTAGAACTTACTGGAAATTGCATTGTGATTAGCCCAAGGAGGGGAATGTGGATGCTTGAATTCTGTCTGGTTCCCCTTTGACTTTCAGTGGTGTGTTCATCCACTTTGTGGTTTTGGGGTGGCAGGAAGAGCACACACCAGACAGGCTCACCAAGGGCCCTATGCCCCTGGCTGTTGGGAAGTGCTCACAGTCACACTCAAGTCTGCTGTCTTTGTTCTGAGTTTTCTGAGACTGCCATTAGTTTTCCCTGAAGATGGGAATTTAAAAGTCAATAATTGGGGGTTGTCTTTGAAGGCAGTTTCTGGAGGGGGCCAGTGGAAAGGTATGGGAGCCTTGTCCCCAGTGGCCCTGGCACTTGGCAGACACTTATTCAATGGGTGTCTGACAGCAGTTTGATTAGTTGCCAAGTGAGCATTGGAATCAGAGGACCATAGAGTAAGCAAAGCCTGGAAAACCTTTTTAGCAGAAACACAGCAAATTTGGTTCATTCCAGTAAAAGCTTTTACTGCTTCTCTCCTGGGCTCACCAGGGAAGGACCCCGGAATGCTGAAGTTGCTCATCAGGCCCAGCTTATACCCAAGCTCATCTTCCTCTTCAATGAGCCGGGCCTTACCCCCTCCAAGATAACCACCATCACAGCGATCCTGCACTGTCAGCTGAGGGGCCACTTCAATATACAGGACTTGCTCAGGTACAACACCAAACCTCCCAGGGGAAAGGGCAGGGCCTCAGACTGTTTCATGAGGGAATACAGGCCCCAGGTGTCTCCCGAGCACATTCAACCCAGCATCACTACCCTTCAATGCACTGGCAGGTTCTATTCCTTGGAACCTTCAAGGAGATTTCTGATCAGGCCCAAGAGTTGAAGAAAGTGGTAAATGTGTCAGACCCCCCAGCAGGGCTGTGTGTTCACATTTCAAACCTCATTTCAGAGGATTTATATAGAAAACCTTCACATGTGTTCAGCAGACATGACTGAGCCCTATGTTGAATGTATCTTTCTTTCTCTGTATTAAGGGTTGCGGTGTTTGTCGTGTACACTCTCAAGCCTTCATCAGTGGATGAGAGGCAGATCTGCATGGATGAAGATCTGGGGTACTCTGTGCCTGGTGAGAAGACCTTTCTCAGAAGACAGTCTGAGGCAGCAGGGTGACCCTCACAGAGTGCCTGACAGCCACACATTATGGGCCATTTTGCAGAGGGAGGGGCTAAGACAAAGGAAGGGGACCACATCCACAGCGAAGAAGTTGTTCCAAATAGTGATTTCTGAGGTCATAGTTTTATGGTTAGGGTCACAAACCAAATTAAACTGTATATTCTTTCTTTACAACTTCAAATCGCTTCCAGGATAAAATTCAGTTTTCTGTAGACCAGCTGGTGGGATCTTTCAATGCCCAGCCCATGTCTACCTTCCTGGTTGAATCTTCCCACACTTGCTCTCCTGGTGAACCCCAATTTCAGCACTCTGAAGCCCTTGCAGGTCCTAATGTGTAATGATCTGTCCTCTGTTAATACTTTGCACATGCTGTTCCCTGTGTAGGAATATCTGTCCTCCTCTATTCCCATTCCCTACCTCATCCCTTTAGATTAGCCATCTCTAGCCCCACTAAGTCATGTTAAGTCACCTCCTCTAGGCTTCTAAAGCCCTTGGACTTACTCTATTGCACAGATTTGTGATTGGTTTGTTTTTTGAGTGTGTCTCTCTCTAACCAGGTAGAATAGCAGCTATATTGTGTTCCACATTCACTCTGCTAGGGCTGGTGTGAGGGAACAGTTACTGTCCACTTTGTCCTGGGCCTTCCAGACCTGTGCTGTTCAAGATGGGAGCCTCCAAATGCATGCAGCCATTTTATTGTAATTAATTGAAATGCAATTAAAAATTCCATTCTTCAGTCTCATTAGCCACATTGCAAGTGCTTGATAGCTACAGGAGGCTAGTGGTTACTACATAGACAGACAGATATAGAACATTTTTATCATTGCAAAAGAGTCTCCTGGATAGCATTACTAAATCTAAATTAGTTCTCTCTTCTCCTTAGAGCAGGACTAAAAAGTAGGAATCACTATTCCCATTTTGCAGATGAGGAAACTGAGGCTCAGAGATATTAGGACTTTAATAAGAAATTGAGCCAGAATCCAAATAGAGAGGAACCTGGCTTCACTTTCTCAAGCTACTTCATTAGTTCTATTTCTATAGCTTGGTGTCTGTGCCCTGAATTAATTGCAAAACAACTGGCTAATCAAAGGTATAAATGAATGGATAATGGGCTGACAGTGAGCTTACTTAGCTAACCCTCCTTCTTATATGGACTCCATTCTGAAACTTTTGTAAAGACGTCTTCTATTGGCACAGTGTTCACATGTCCTTCAAAGCTATAATAACATTCAGAAGTAAAGTTTCTTTTTCCACCGGATCTATATACCTCTTGCTCTAACTCAAGCTCTATTTTTATTGTAGCATCAACATGCCAAAGGCCTAGGTTAGAGGCTGTGATAGCAGGAACCAATACTGACTACCATAGTCTTCACACTCTACCCCCAGTGCCTGGAATAATACCAAGCAGCTAGTGGATGATCAAGAAATGTTGCAGCCTATAATTTTTAAAAAAATTTTCTATTGGAAGATGTATTTTTCTGAAGATAGGGAGATTAAAAACATCTCTAGTTAAAGAGAAGTTGAAGAATACATCTGGAAAAAATTTAAAGCATTGTATTAAAGTCTAGAATTGAACGGCAAAATTTGGAGTTCCACCCATGCCCTAAGTCCTGAATGAAATGAGCATTTTGTGAACATGATTGCTTATTGCAGAAAATATGTCTCTTTACAGCATTCACTCTCAAATCTAAATTTTCTCTTTTGTAGCTGGAAGCCAAACATCTGGAAAGACAATCTGGCTCAGGAACCAGTTGCTGGAGTTGCTGTTCAGTGTGATATCTTCCTCCCAACTTCATCTATCCTCTGAGTAAGTAGCTTCCGGAAGGGTGATTTGGAATGAGGCTGCCTCGTACAGGGTGTGGTGTTAAAACGTTTTCTTAATGAAAAGGTTAGCATCTCAGAGTTGGCTTTCTGCAATATGTTTCCTGCTCTAGTCAAAAAGAAAATTATATTCTCCCCACCCAATAAAGCAGACATTGCCCTAAGATATTCTAGTGAAAATGTTTAATGGGCAGAGTAGCTAGAAACACATTTGGTATAATTACAATAAGCTCCTTTTGTCACCATTGCTCTAGTATAATTGTTATTGTTTTGGCAGTTGTGACAATTACTGATTTGATGTTCTTTACTTTGCAGACAAATGGTTAGCCTAAATAACATCTATCAAGGCAAAGGCTCACCAAATTCCTCTGCTATTTACTGTTAGTTACTTAGTTATTTTCCTAAGTTTTGGGAAAATAGAAATACTTCCTCTCAATCAACTTTTGACACCATGTGTAATCATAAAGTTCCATTAACTCTCCCACTGTCTGCTTGACATCCAATCCTGGAGTCACTTAATTAACAACTAACTGTTGAACACCTACTATGTGCTAGACACTGTTCTTTGATGCGAGAATGTGGTGCTGAGCAAGTTAATTCAGATCTATGCTCTTGCCAAATTGACATTTTGTGGTTTATGTGTGTTTGGAGAAGGAGTATGTATTACCCATTAGAAAAACAGCTTTGCAAACAGTGCTTAAAAATTTGCCAGCCCTTAAGTCTTCACCTTGCTAAAATCAAAACATGGTAGAACTGGAAAACTTGGAGATATGCTAGTCTCAACCTTTGCTTTGCATTATTTTTTTTTTAAATTAATGTAATGTAGTGCTTAAGCACCTGGGCTCAGTTGTAAGAACTTCTGGGTTCAAATCCCTGCTCTGTTCCAAGGGGAGGTAACTTAAACTCTCTACTCATCTATGTGAGACTAAAATAAGTACTTGCCATAGACGAAAATTAATATGTGATAGTCTGGAGCATGGTGCCTAAGATAATATAAATACTTTATAAGCTAACTGCTGTCCTCACCATCACCATCACTGTCACCACCACCATCATTGAGGAAAATGACCAGAATACATCAAAAGTTCTGACAAAGTCATCGTTTTCCATGCAGAGGCAGGACTAGAAGACACCACCCACCTCCCTGTCTTCCACTTCCCTCTAGCAAGTCTGTGTTCTACAGCCCCATAATTTTAAAATTCATTTTTTAAAGTAACAGTAAATCATGGATTTTTTTTCCTAAAGTGATAAGATGCAGAAACTTTGGACTATTCTGTTTAGATTAGTTTTGACCAGCGTATGGTCAAAAGGGAAGTAAATAACCATTTTGTGTTTTATACAGCTATATTGTTGCAATTAGATGGGTGGTTAGCAGACACTGTGTGAGTGTGAATATCAGTGGAGTAGGGCTATCAAGGAGCCTGCATGTTTTATAGCAACTGATACACAGTTTTCAATTGTTTTGAAAACCTTCCACCAACTTATCCTTCAGCCATTAATAAACAAATTCAGCCCTGGCTGATGTGGCTCAGTGGATTGAGTGCCAGTTTGCTAACCAAAAGGTTGCTGATTTGAATCACAATCAGGGCACATGCTTGGGTTGTGGGCCAGTTGGGGGCATGTGAGAGGCAAGCACAAATTGGTGTTTCTCTCCCTCTTTTTTCCTCCCTTCCCCTCTCCCTAAAAATAAGCAAAATCTTTAAGAAAAATAGATAAATTCACCTATTTCTCAGCAACTTTGCCAGCATTTTGTTTAGCATTCTTTTAAATGCAATATGTATTTTGCTGAGTGATATCCGAATGTTAACCTTAGTTTGCCTTTCCAAGATGACAGGTGAGGCTGGCTATTATTCATATTTTCTGAATATTTCATTTGCACATGGAATGAAATATTCATTGAATTTACTGGCACATGGAATGAAATATTCATTGAATTTACTGGCCACCTAGGGTGAAAGAGGAGGTGTTCCTGAGCCTAGGGCCCGACTGGTTTCTGCTGCTCCTGCAAGGCCACCTAAACTCCAGCACCACTGTGCTGGGATTGAAGTTGCTGCTGCACTTTCTGTCAAGCCCTAACCTCCTCATGCGATTCAAAGATGGCCTGTCTGCAGGATCCTGGGTGGAATGCAGCTCCAAAGGCGTGGATATCATGATGGGTGAGTGTGCGCTTATCTTCATGAGGCTGGGCACCATCTCCTCAAGTGGGGCGTGGGATCTGCCTGTTTCTTCCTCTTTGCTTGGGACCTGCAGGAGTCCTGTGCAGTAGTATCACCTTGACCCCTGGTTCCCAATCAGCCTAGCCCTCTCTGATTTCCCTTTTAGGATTCCCAAGAGCCTCACTGCTCTCCAGATACGGGGGACTTTCTTCTACTTCTCAAAGGCTCCTTAGCTCTTTCCCTGTTCCTAGGATGTTCTCCCAACCCACAACACCAGCAGGCGTCTCCTGGCTGATGTGGATTTACCCTCAAGGTCTCAGTTCAAATGCCACTTTCTCTAGGAAGGGTGGGTCCCACTTGAACTAGGGCACCTCCATTGTATTCTCTTTGCCCCTATTATTGTCCTTTATAGTGTATTTATAAGCATATAAATATGCTTATTTATTTATAAAGATAAGCATATACTTAGTTGATATTTAGTCACTTCATGCCTGGCCCTTCCACTATTGTAGATACTTGGTGAGGGCCTGGGGTTCTGTACATTTTGTGGTAATATTGTGTCCTTGTTGCCTAATATAAAGTTACTTTGTGGACTTCAAGGTTGTAGGCACTAAATATTTGTGTTTGAATGAAAAATGAGTATGTCAGGAATAGAGAAAGGAATTATTGTTGAGAATTTTCTTGTGCTCATGTGTATATTTCTACCTAGAATTTCTATAGTATGAGTAAGGGGCAGGGAATTTCCTCATGTGACCAATCCTCACCTTGGCCAGAATCGATTGCAGTTGTTCTCAGTTGGATTTTGTGCCCATTCCTGATCAATAGATAATCTGAAGAACCACGTTCCCATGCCTGACCAGAGCCCCTGCCTCCTTCCTGGATTCCGTGTTCTGAATGAATTTCTGGCCCACCATGTTCATATTCCGGAGGTCTACCTCATCGTGTCCACCTTCTTTCTACAGACACCACTTACAGAACTGACAGGCGGACCAAAAGTAGGTTCTGGGGCCACCCAGGGATGAAGTGACACACCTGGTTTTCTGATTCCATATGACTGAGGCAGTTCCTTAAGATTCCACCCTTGCCCTGATCCACTTCTTCCAGAGTCCATTGTCCTGACCCATTTCTTTCCCTAGCAATCAATCCACATGCCTTGGCTGGCTCTTCAAATACCCTTGACTTCCTCCATCTCTGCCTCCTGTCACCTTCCCCGGCAGCTCTACATTTTTATCAGTCTGACTTTTAGATTTTCTCCTTTTGGGCATAGCTAGAGAATTCTGTGATGGTGGCAGGTGGTGTGGGGAGGTGCATAGCTGCCACCAAAGGTGCAGAGCCTCAGTTTAGGCCTTCACTTTAGTAATATTCCTGTTATTCCCCTATATTCTGATATAAACCTTGTATGTGTTGAGTCTTGTGCTCCACAATTGCCCAGCTTCTATACTTGTCTGCCCTTCACACTGTGATCTTCCTGAGTCACCTCCACGGGGTGTGCTTGGCCACTCTGTGCCTTTGGCGATCTTCTCTCACAATCACCTGCCTCAGATGCCACCTCTTGCTTAGACCCTCTGGACAGAGGGAGCCTTTCTTCCTTTGTGCCTCAGCATACCTTTTCCTTATGTAGCACAGACACACTTACATATCTGCCTTTCTCTTTAGGTGCTGAGCACCTCAAGAATAGAACCACCTGTTACTCATTTTGTTGGGCTTCTGACAAATAGCAGAATCAAAAATTGTTTTTTTGATCATAATTGAATTGAATTGAATTAAACTGCACCGAATTGAAATGGGGTGGGGTCATAGTTTGCAAATAGAAAGCTAAAAAGTGCACTTCCTTTGCACATCATTATGTATTTAAAAAAAATTATTTATTTATCCTTAGAGAGAGGGGAAGGGAGGGAGAAAGAGAGGGAGAGAAACATCAATGCACAATTGGTCGCTTCTCTCACACTCCTAACTGGGAACCTGGCCTGCAACCCAGGCATGTGCCCTGACCAGGAATTGAATTGGTGACCCTTTAGTTTGCAGTACAACACACAACCCACTCAGTCACACTGGTCAGGGCTGCTCATTACTATATTTGCCAGATTTTTTTTGCATTTAAAAAATTTATTTAGTTATTTTTCAAGTACAGTTTTTTGCCTATTTCTCCCATCCCAGCCCACCCCGCCCTGTGCTCCCCACCTCCCTCCCATTTCCACCCCCCTTAGTTCTCGTCCCTGTGTCCTTCATATTTGTTCCTCCAAATCCCTCCCCTTTTTTCCCCTGAAACTTCCTTCCCTCTCCCCTCTGGTCACTGTTCCCTTGTTCTCTATTTCAGTTTCTTTGTTTTTTTTTTTTTCTGCTTGCTTGTTTGTTTTGTTGTTTAGCTTCCTGTTAAAGGTGAGATCATATGGTATTTGTCTTTCAACACCTGGCCTATTTCACTCAGCATAATGCTTTCCAGTTCCATCCATGTTGTTGCAAAGGGTAGTAGCTCCTTCTTTCTCTCTGCTGCATAGAATTCCATTGTGTATATGTACCACAATTTTTTTGATCCATTCATTTGCTGATGGGCACCTAGGTTGCTTCCAACTCTTGGCTATTGTAAATCATGCTGCTATGAACATTGTGGTGCATAGGTTATTTGAAATTGATGTTTTAGGATTCTTAAGATATAATCCTAGCAGTGGACTTGCTGGGTATATTTGACAGATTTAAATCTTGATATGTAATTGAAATGTTATAAATTCCCCTTCAAAATAAATGTTCTGTATGCTGAGCTAAATTCATCAAAGTCCTGCATTTTTATTTCTCTGAGAATGTATCTAGGAAACACATATCTACTGAGTATCAGGACCCATGATAAATATTTTACATATTTTATTTTACTTGATATTTATGACAGTTCCATGGGGTAGATAACACAATTTTTATTTCACAGAGAGAGAAACTAAACTGCCAAGAGGCCAAACAGCATGCTTTTTTTTTTTCGGGATTTTTTTTCACATTTTAAAATTGTTGTTTAAGTGTAGTTGTCTCCATTTCCCACCCCCCACTCCCTCCTGAACCCCAGCCACCCCTATTTCTCACCCTTGATCCTACCCCTCTTTGGTTTTGTCCATGTGTCCTTTATAGATGTTCCTGAAAACCCTTCCCCCTTTACCCCCATTATCCTCTCCCATGTCCCCTCTGGTTACTGTCAGTTTGTTCTTAATTTCAGTGTTTCTGGTTATATTTTGCTTGCTTGTTTGTTTTGTTGACTAGGTTCCACTCACAGGTAAGATCGTATGGTATTTGTCTAACCTGGTGATTTCACTGCTAGGATTATATCCTAAGAATGCCAAAACACCAATTCAAAAGAACCTATGCACCCCAATATTCATAAAAGCACAATTTACAATAGCAAAGTGCTGGAAGCAACCTAAGTGCCCATCAGTAAATGAATGGATTAAAAAAATGATGGTATGTTTACACAATGGAATACTGTGCAGCAGAAAGAAAGAAGGAGCTTCTACCCTTTGTGACAGCATGGATGGATCTGGTGAACAGCATGCTTAAATTCAACTTTTAAAGAGGCAAAATCAGATCATCCTGGTTGTCAACCAGTGCTCTGTCCACTACAGTATAAACTTTCCCTGAAGTGAATTTGTCATATTTCTATAATGTCATTCACAAAGATTCATTAAGGTTGATAGTATTTTTGATGTCAGACTAAAAGGACTACACTCAACCTAAGTTGTTAGTGGGGTCTCCAGTGCCTTCTTGGAGGCATATATTTCCTTTATGCACCAAGTGGGCTAAAATTTCCCATATGGGCCAGCCAGCCAGGGTGTTACTATGCTGTTCTGCCTTTCCTAATGGGGCCCTTTGGGGAACTCAACATCCTGGCTGAAAAAGGAGCCATCCTGGTGTGTTGCCAGATGCGGGCATCATTGCAGGCCTGGCCTCCTCTTTCAGGAAAGCCTGGATGCTGCACTGCAGTGGATCCTGCAGAAGCACAACACAGAGGAAGTCCTTCGGGCTGGGCTGCGCACTGAGGGTGCCCTGCTGCTCCTGCATATGCTGAAGGCCACAATGAGACAGGTGAGTCCCATTACCCAGTGCCACGATGAGGGTCAGACAAGTCTGGAAGGGTCACCTGCCAGTAGTTTTCCCAGTAGTTTCCAAGCAATGCCAGTAATTAGCAAGTGTTATTTAGAATACTTGGTAAACAAGGCAAGGCAGGTTCCTGGTGATAACTTAGTGCACAAAAGGAAAAACCAGCCTAAATGGTTCCAGTGCTATTTATCCATTCTTGCCAAACAACTTCTGGATCAAAAGGCAGTTCTCTCATTAGTTTTTTTTTTTTGTGTGTGTGTGGAAATTCCATACCGTTTTCCACAGTGGCTGCAGCAGTTTGCATTCCCACCAACAGTGCACTAGGTCTCTTTTCTCTTTCTTTCCTTTCCTCTTCTCTTCTCTTCTCTTCTCTTCTCTTCTCTTCTCTTCTCTTCTCTTCTCTTCTCTTCTCTTCTCTTCTCTTCTCTTCTCTTCTCTTCTCTTCTCTTCTCTCTCTCCTCTCCTCTCCTCTCCTCTCCTCTCCTCTCCTCTCCTCTCCTCTCCTCTCCTCTCCTCTCCTCTCCTCTCCTCTCCTCCCCCCCTCCTCTCCCTCCTCCCTCCCCTCCCCTCCCCCCCCTCCCCTCCCCTCCTCTTCTTCCTTCCTTCCTTCCTTCCTTCCTTCCTTCCTTCCTTCCTTCCTTCCTTCCTTCCTTCCTTCCTTCCTTCCTTGTTGCTGATACTTTGGTTCTATTTTGGTTCTATTTTGTCTTCTATAATTCCATATTTTGAAAGTTTAGCTTACAACTTATGCACATAATATTTAATCCCCCTGCACCGTTGGGGCTGTCCCTTATACAAAAGATTTCCTCTGCCTCTAGAAAGCTATGATTCTAGATAGTGTAAAAGCTGAAACAAAAAAATCACTCCAACACATTAATAAAATTTTATTTTTTGAATGATGAAAAACATTAAATCTGGGGCAAAATATTTGACCCCTAATGTAAGTTTCAATTCTTGTGTCCTTTTTAATATTTTAGATGGTGAAAAATGGAAAAATCAGAAGTAAATACTCTTTGTTTCTTAGATTTCATTTATTTATCTTTAGAGGGGAAGGGAAGGAGAGAGGGAGAGAAATATCAATGTATGGTTGCCTCTCGTGCATCCCCTGCTGGGAACTGGCCTGCAACCCAGGCATATGCCCTGACTGGGAATCGAACCTTGATCCTTTGGTTCACAGGCCTGCGCTAAATCCACTGAGCTACACCAGCCAGGACATAGAAGTAAATACTCTTTAAATTAAAAATAACTTAAAATGGAAAAAGACAGCAGTTGCTACTGATTTTTTAAAAATTGTTGTTCAGATACAGTTGTCCCCATTCTCCCCCCATTGCTCTCCCCTGCCTCATCTGACCTCTGCTCCCTAAGACTATTCTCTCCCAATTGTCCTTGTCCACAAGTCCTTTATATACGTCCCCCTTTTTTTCCTTGTTATCCCTGTCACCCTCCCCTTGGGTCCCTGTCAATTTGTTCTTTATTTCCATGGCTCTGGTTCTTTTTTGCTCATTTGTTTGTTTTGTTGATTAGGTTCCACTTATAGGTGAGCTCAATGGTATTAGTCTTTCACTGCCTGGCTTATTTCACTTAGCATAGTACTCTCCAGTTCCATCTATGCTGTTATGAAGAGTAGGAGTTCCTTCTTTCTTTATGCTGCATAATACTATTGTGTAAATGTACCACAGGTTTTCGATCCACTCATTTACTGATGGACATTTAAGTTCTTTCTAGAATGTGGCTATTGCAAATAATGCTGTTATGAACATTTGGGTATATAGGTTCTTTTGAATTGGTGATTCAGGATTTTTATGGTATAATGCTAGCAGTGGAACGGCTGGATTAAAAGGCAGTACCATCTTTAGTTCTTTGTGGGAATTCCATACTGTTTTCCACAGTGACTGCACCAGTATACATTCCCATCAATAGTGAATTAGGGTTTTCTTTTTTTTTAAAATTTATTGAGTTATTTTTCAAGTACAGTTTTCTTTTGTCAATTTCTCCCATCCCAACCCCCCCTCCGCCCCGTCTCCCCACCGCCCTCCCATCCCCCCCTCCCCACAGACCTCATCCCTGTGTCTTTCATACTTGTTCTTCAAAATCCCTCCTCGTTTTTCTCCTTAAATTCCCTTCCCTCTCCCCTCTGGTCGCTGCCCACTTGTTCTCTATTTTAGTGTCTTTGTTTTTATTCTATTTGCTTGTTTATTTTGTTATTTAGCTTCCTGTTAAAGGTGAGATCATATGGTATTTGTCCTTCAATGCCTGGCCTATTTCACTCAGCATAATGCTTTCCAGTTCCATCCACGTTGTTGCAAAGGGTAGTAGCTCCTTCTTTCTCTCTGCTGCTTTTCTCCACATCCTCACCAGCACTTGTTTGTTGATTTGCTAATGATGGCCATTCTGACCCATATGGAATAGTAACTCATTGTGGTTTTAATTCGCATCTTCTGTTGGCTAGTGATATTGAGCATCCTTTCATAGGTGTCTACGCCCTCTGTATATCCTCCTTGGAAAAGTGTCTGTTCAAGTCTTTTGTCCATTTTTCAATTGTTTTTTTTTTTTTTGTCTTCCTGAAGTGGAGTCATGTGAGTTCCTTATATATATTGGAGATCAAACCCTAGTCTGAGGTATCATTGGCAAATATGTTTTCCCACATAGTTGGTTCTCCTTTCATTTTAATGCTGTTCTCTTTAGCCATGCCGAAGCTTTTTATTTTGGTGAGGTTTCATTTGTTTACTCTTTCCTTTATGTCCCTTGCTTTAGGGAACATATCAGTGAAGATGTTGCTGCATGGGATGTCTGAGAATTTCCTGCTGATGTTTTCCTCTAGGACTTTTATGGTGTCATGACTTATATTTAAGTATTTTACTCACCTTCAATTTATTTTTGTGTATGGTGTAAGTTGGTGATCGAGTTTCATTTTTTTTTTTTGTATGTAGCTGTCCAGTTCTCCCAACATCGTTTGTTGAAGAGGCTATTTTTACTCTATTTTATTCTTCTTCCCCCTTTGTCAAATATTAATTGACCATAGAGACTTGGGTTTATTTCTGGGCTCTCTGTTCTGTTCCATTGGTCCATGTGTCTATTTTTATTCCATTACCAGGCTGTTTTGATTACAGTAGCCTTGTAATACAGTTCAATATTAGGTATTTTGATGCCTCCTACTTTGTTCTTCTTTCTCAAAATTGCTGCAGCTATTCAGTGTTGTTTATGGTTCCATATAAATTTCTGAAATGTTGGTTCTATATCTGTGAAATATGCCACTGGTACTTTAATAGGAATTGCATTGAATCTATAAATCATTTTGGGTAGTATGAATATTTTGATGATGTTAATTCTTCCAATCCATGAACATGTTACATGCTTCCTTAATTTCTTTCTTCAGTGTTATATAGTTTTCTGAGTACTTTTTAAAATTATTTAATTTTTTGTGTGATTATTTTACCTTTATAATTCTTAAGTTATAAGCTTATACTCTCTTTTTGCCCCACCACTCTCATTATTTAAGAAGCTCAGAACCTGCATATTTATTTAAAGAACCACCTTAGGATACATTTATCATTCTCCTGATATTTTTTCTGGCTAGTTCTAAGATTTTGATATTTGGCACCTTTATTTTTTTGTTTTGTCTTCTAGAGTTTCTGTGATTGCAGTTTTAAACACTTTTTGATTTATATTTTACAATATCCATGTGGTTGAACTTTTTGTTTCTTTTATTATTGTTAACCATTTTCAGTTTTGTTTTGTCCTAGTCAGAGCATGTGATTTGTACACTTTACATCTTTGAGGAACTTATTCATAGTTCCACCACAGACCTAATGTTGAAATTAATTTTGGGATACCTGAAAAATTATATATTTTTCTGTTTGCTGAATAAGTCTGTTACCTTTCTAACAAATTAATGTTATTTTTTAAAAGCCAAAAGAAGTAACATGAATGTATTTAAAATAAAGAAACTATATATTATGCTGACAGAAATAAAAAATAAAATAAACACTTACATTATAATGTCAAACATAAAATGGTGAACTGGTGTATTACAGATGAGACTCCCAGATAGGTCCATAAACAAGGCCCAACCTTCTTTTTTTTAAATTTTATTTAGTTATTTTTCGAGTACATTTTTTGGTCTATTTCTCCCATCCCAGCCCCCCCCCCGTGCTCCCTCACATTTCCTCCCCCCCAGTCCTCATCCCTGTGTCTTTCATACTTGTTCCTCAAAACCTCTCCCTTTTTTCTCCCTTAAATTCCCTTCCCTCTCCCCTCTGATCACTGTCCCCTTGTTCTCTATTTCAGTGTCTTTGTTTTGGTTTTTTTTTCTGCTTGCTTGTTTGTTTTGTTGTTTAGCTTCCTGTTAAAGGTGAGATCATATGGTATTTGTCTTTCAACACCTGGCCTATTTCACTCAGCATAATGCTTTCCAGTTCCATCCATGTTGTTGCAAAGGGTAGTAGTTCCTTCTGATATATGTAACAAACAATAAAAACAAAATCACTCAAAGGTTGTATTGGTTCAATGAAGATATCTGTCATAAAAGTATAATCCACTATGTGCAGCAGACCAGTATTAAAATACAAAAATAAAAACTGGAAAGATAAGAGAAAAAGACCAGAAAGTTAATTGTAGCAAATAACTCTAATTTACCTTTCTCAAACCACTTATTTTCTTTTACTGTGTCTTATTTATATTATTGTTTGCTTAGAACTTACTTGGTTTGATGTTATTTCCTTGCCCAGTGGTAACTAACCTACCACAGATTAATTTGCTTGTTTGTGAACTTGATATAAATGGAATAATACAATATGTAATCTACCACATCTGGCTTCTTTCACTCATCCTTATATTTGTGGAGTTCATTTATGATGGTGTATATGTCAGTAATTTATTTTTGTTTTATTGAGTAGTATCTTATTGTGATAACTTATCATAATTTATTTAACTATTCTTGGTTATTTCCATTTGGAAATATTATGAATAAAACTGCTTTGTACATATTTTTGGCTGGGGATACATATTTTTTTCTGTTAGAAAGAAATATGCCCAGGAGTGAAATTGTGGGTCATTAGTTATACACATGACTTGCTTTAGTAGATATAACCAGATGGTTCTCCAAAGTGAAGTGCCAACTTATGCTCTCACAAGCTCTTATTCTAGTTGGAAGGTTCTGATTCCTCTGAGTTCTTTCCAATGTATTACATTGTTGGTCTTGTAGATGTTAGTCATTTCACTGTGTTTAACAACCCTTTTAATCCGATCTCATTATCTCTATTGTGCAAATGCAGAAACTGTAACTCCCTTAGGCAAGTTCATGGAGCAAGAGCATGGTGGATGTACCTGTGTCCAGCCATCAGCATTACATTTTTGATCACCACCATGCTTAAAAGTCTTCAGGGGGTTCTGGTTGCTCAATGTATGAAATTCAAGTTTCTCTTCCAAAAGTTCAAGTCCTGTCTATCTGATCTTATATTCCAGTTTTTTTTCTGTATTTACCCTGTGCTAGTCACTATGAAAATAAGCCTGAAGGACTAAAATGTCTCATTCAGTCCTCACAATAACCAAATGAAATAGGTCATATTACAATCCTTGTTTTACAGAGTTGGGACTGGAGGTGTGGGGGGATTAAGAAATTATTCCAACCTTCTGAGGGATGCACAGTCAACAAAAGGCAGATGCAGGGTTCAAACCAAGCAGAGTAACTCCAAAAAACATTCTCTGAACTCCAACCTCTGGTATTCCCCCTGAAATCTAATCTTGTGCTGTAAGCACCTGGTGGAGAAGCCAGAATCAGTCTCTCTCTTCCTGTCTGCTCAGCCCATACCAAACCCTTGAAGAATACAGTTTAAAATTGACTTCCTAGCTGTTCCATGCACAAGGTCTTTCTTTCAGTAATAGGTTTTAGTATTCTAGTATGAGATTCAGTTCCAGGAACTCAGTATCTGCTTAGTAAACAGGACATCTGGCTCAGGAATATGAAGCTGGGACTTGAAGCAGACTGGTGGGGAAATGAGGAAGCCATGGATATGGGAGAGGCTGGGGCTGAGTGCTGTATTTTGCCATGCATAATGCACACTTTTTTCGCCCAAAAATTTTCAGGAAAAAGGGTGCACATAATACATGGGTAATAACTGAAATACCTTGTATGTGTTCTTGTGTTTTGTAATTATTTGTTATGTAAAATTTCTTATACCATAGTATGTTAAAAAATAAAAGGCATTTATTTTTAACATAAAATTTATTTATAATATAAAACAAGTATCTAAATATGAATAAAAATTAATTAAAATTTTGAACAAAAAATTATTCCCTGAAAGTTTGGGTCAAAAACATGGCTATTCATTATACACAGCAAAACAAAGTAATTGGCCAAAGAAACACCCGACATTCACTTGTAGGAGTAGTCAAAGTGTCACTCTATCTGGTTGTTCGTGTGGCTATCCAAGGTGGTCCAATTTTCAAGTTCCAGGCTGTCTATCAGATAGAGCAGGACCTCAGGCAGTAGCTGGACACATTGGGGCTATAGTCAATCTCCAGAGAGAGTGACTTGGCATAGCTAATTAAGACAGCTGAGCTTCAGGGAGACACTAGTGTGCAGCCAGGATGGAGACTCAACCATGTGACTGAGCCTAGGTTTTGGTATGGGGATGGACATGTGCCCAAGTCTCCTCAGGGTACTGGGTATCAGCTAAGTACAACATGATCCACTCCAGATCCCTGGCTGGAAGGGACGGGGTTCCTCAAGTTCTTAAAGGCTTGGACATATATAAGGCAAGGCAGGGTCTAGAGGTGGGAGCAAAAGCAGTGGGCTGTGAAAGGCTGGGGTTGACCATGATTTGCAAGTTCCTTGAGCACAAAGGCCATGTCAAGTCATATAGAGGCAATATGAGAATATGGGAAAGATAGGCAAACTTTATAGCCATATTGCTTGGACTCAGTCAACTCCTGGATCTGCTCCTTCCCTACTATGTGACCTTTGGCAAGCTATTTAACCTCACTGTGCTTTGTTGTCCCCTCTGTAAAATAAGGGTAAATATAGGACCTACCTCAGAGGGTTGTTTGAGATGGAAAGAGGAGTATGTGTGAAGCCTATAGAATAATGCCTATATGCATGAAACCCTTCTGCAGCCAAAGACAAGCATCCCAAGCCAATCCACAGTCTTAAAGGTCTTGCAATGAAATGCCTGCGGGACAGTCACAGAAAGCAGGTCTTCTTCCTAGGTCTCAAATCCTTTGGCTTCCATGCATGCCTCTCATCATGTGTTTTTAGCCCTTGACAGGGCATGGAGATGGTGCCTGGGAGCAAACCTTCCCAGCCAGTGTGCTACAGTTCCTCAGCCTTGTGCACAGCACCTACCCACAGGATCCAGCCTGGCGGGCACCAGAGTTCCTCCAGACCTTGGCCACCATCACCTTCCCCCTGCAAACCCACAAGGTAGGACATGCCACAATCTTGCCCCAATGAAACAGGGGCAAGTGGTGTCATCCTTCAAGAGCAAAGGGCAGAATTCCTCTCTGCCACACACCCTCACCTCCAATTATGATACATTTTGAGGCAACTTGACTGAAACAGTAAGTAAAAACTTGAGTAATTTTTCTTTCTCAGCTGAGATGCAGCTTGAGGTCATTTTCAACTCAGATTCAGTAATTTTTTTGAGTTGTTAGTAATCTTGGTAATTTGATGGCAGATCAAGTTCAATTGTATATGAAATCTCCTCCCACTGATAATGTGAAACAAATTCCCAACAAATTTCATCCCAGGATGCCTGTGGCTGTGACCCAGACCAAGGTGGGTGGGTGGGTGGAGGGCAGGAAGCTGGAAGAATGACTTGCTCTGCTTTTTATTCTCAGGACCCTAGCCTTGTTTGTAGGCCATGACTCAGGACTCTTTGAAGTCAGTGGGTGGCTGGGAGAGCAGAGGGACCAGCTGGGTCTGGAGGGTAAGGTGTGGGTGTGGAGTAGAGTAGGGGCTACAGGAAGAGATATGAGTGAGTTTGGGACTGAAAGCTAGTCTCAGTAGGTCAAGGGGACTCAGTCAGTGTGAAGGGCAAAACTATCTGGTAAACCTATGCATCACCCCTCATTGGTAGTGTAGGAAACTGAGACCAAGACAGGAAACATGAGCTAGTGACACCTGTCTGCAAATCTGTAATTGCAGTTAAAGGACATGCTAAAAGACAAAGAATGGTAAGGAGAGAGGTCAGAAACCAGGCCAAGCACTGTGCAGGATCCATAATTATCTGCTAAATGACCAAATGAATGAATGATGTACTCTTTCAGCTAATCTTTTCTAGAAGTGTATTCATGGTGACAGCCTCCACCTACTGAATGCCTACAGCAGACTTGAGCCTAGTGCTTCATGTCACCCTAATTGCCACCCTGCACAGGTAGTGTGTGTTAGTTGAGGAAAGGGAGACTCATAGCAGTGAATGGCACTGACCAGTATCCTCTGGATTTAGTGGGAACCTAGGACCTATCTTACAAAATGGTTGAGAGAGTAAAATACACCCAGGTTTATGTGATTAATTAAGTGACAGGGCCAAGATTTAAACCTCACCTATCTCTTCCCATAGGCCCCTCCCTACCCCAACACTCACCCTAAGATCCATATCCTTTCTATCACTGTCAGTTTAAAATAAAATCAAGTGGTCAAGTAAAATTTAAGAGTACCATATTTGTTTTAATGAAAAGACCTAAGTATAAGACTATAAGATTTGTAAAAAGATAAAATGGTCTATTGGGCTAATATTAACTAAAGAAACATGCTGGAAAAGTAAGACTAAGGAAAAGGATACACCAGAGGGGGGTGGGGGATGGCACCCCCCACACAGAGACCAGGCAGGGAAAAAGGACAATCCCACAGGCTGACCTTTACCATCCCTGTAAGCAGGACCTCTGGAGGTGGCCAGAATCCTGAAGTCCTGACATTTTTAGCCTAGATCCCCACCTGAGCCCCTGCACAGTGGGCTAGGCTCACCATTTGCTGAGTTGGGGTTCCAGCTGGCTGCCCAAAGGCAATGGGAGCACACTAATCCAGGTCTCTTCCTCTCCATGCTCAACACTTTCTGCCTGGGGGAGGGCCAGGACCAACATCACCTCCAAGGCAAATTCCTATGAGCCAGGCCTTGCCTTGGGCCCCCTGGATCCAGTTCCACAGCACTTATCACCATATCTCCTTGCCTTGTCCCACTTTTGAGTCAGCTCTAAAAGACCTTCATTGTACAGAAAATGTGACAGCTCATCTTCACGCAGAAAGCTGCAGAAGCCAGAAGGCTTCAGTTTGCTGTGAATTTATATGGCAACTTTCCAGTCAAGGCCACAAAGAGCTAATTAATGCAGTCACCACATCCCTAGGGTTCATTAAATTCATTTTATGGCTTAATTAAGAACAGCTGCATGAATTTTATGAATGAGCAAAGGGAAGTGCCAACCAATGAATGTCCATGGACATTTCACTGGCTGGGAGTTAGGAGTCTCTGGCTGTATATCCTTGGGCATGTCATTCAGCCTCCCAGAATCTCTGTGATTTTATGGATGTCGCTGGGCTAATGATGCTGCCTCATTTATCCTTGTATATTTCTACAAATATGAAAATGAGAATGTAAAGGCTAAAGTGCTTCAGGGACTTGGATGCCAGGACTTGCTGAAGTCATAGCTCCTCTTTTCACTTGAGGATCCTACTTGTCACAATCAGCAAAGAGCATGGGAGGCAGTAAATGTGAGGGTTCCTCCAGAAGGTAGGAACCAACTTTCTTGACCATATGCCAGGGCCAGGCACTGTGGCATGCACTGTTCTTGCATTTGTTCTCATACATCTCTGTGATGTCTCTTTCTGTATCTCCATTTGACTGATGAGAGCTATAGCTCTGAGGAGGAAACAACTTATCCAGGTCATGTTCTGGGCTTCCCTAATGAGTGCTGCAGGCCTCTGTTGCTCCATACTCAGCTTCTTTCCATGACTTCCACCCACCTTGGGTTCAGGGACCATAACATGTATCTTTATGAGCCATGAGACTCTGGGCAAGTCACCTACTTCAGTTGACCCTCATTCCTTTACATGTTAATAGCTTTGATCAGAATCTCACCCATACACATCTCAGCAGTGAATAGGAGTGCACTCTGAAGCAGTTCAGACCACTCATTTAGGGTTCTCTTAACTTTAAGGGGGTCACGACTGAGTCTGCCCAGAATGCCAGCAGTCCTGGGACTGAGGGTGAAAGTGACAGCATTGCGGATGGTCTGCAGATGTCTGCCAAGTCACATCCCACACGGAAACAGCTACGGGTGTTTCTGAAGCTACTGTTGAGGGAGCTCTTGATTGCAGCTCCCAGCACCAAGCAGTGTTTGCCTCTGGAGATGCTGCTGGAGGTAAGTGCACAGGGGCTGCTGGGCCATCTGTTGCCAGAGGGCATGGGCTCTGCAAGGGTGTGGTATATTCCAGGAGACCTCAGGGCTGATCTATTGTGAGAACCAGCTCATAGTCTAGAACATCTGTGACTTTCGTGATACAGTGGGAGAGTGCTCCAGGAACCACAGGCCCTGGCAGAGCAGGGAGCATACCAGCAGTGAGTAAAGAGATGAATGAGGGGTAGGTCTTAGCCAGGTTCCTAGAAGCAGAACCTGATACAGGGACTGTAGAAAAGTGATTTATTAAAGGCTGTGTGCTCAGGGGAGGCAGAGAAGGGATGCAAGGAAGATGAGGGAGAAGCTAGCCAGACAATCTTGGCCCCAAGGGGAGCACAGGTATGCTATCTACATCCCAGAGTTGGCCCCACCTTAAGGCATCTGCCAGGCAGTCATTGTCTGTGGACCACCCCCTGCCACTTGCCTTCTTGCCCCAGGAAGTGGGCATCAATTCCAGATGAAGCAGCTTGGTCAGCAGAAGTCAATGCTTTGGAGAAGGGGCAGGTATGAGCTGTTGGCAGCCCATATTCCCAGCAGCTGTGATATCAGCATAGAGGCCAGGTAAGGGGACTCAGTAGGTACTGAGTGGACATGATAGTCACAGGGCTACTGTTTCAATTCTGGGTATGCTTCCAGGCTTCTCCAGATAATGCCACCAATCAACAGAAGCAAGAATTCCAGTCTGAGATCCTGCTCTCCACCATGGAAATATTTCATGTGACGAGTGGAAGTGACATGTCAATGCTCAGAGGTGAGTGGAGAAGACTTGCTTCTCACCGTTATGACACAGAACTGCTGACAGCTAAACAGTAAAGCCAACATGCCCACCAGCAATAAGACCCAATTTCCTAGAGGAGGCCTGGGTTTTAGTGCTGCAAGATGCTCTGGGGGCCTTGGGAAGATGCTGTCAACAAATCTGCAGTAGGAGGTCACTGCCTGACTAGAGGCCCAAGGGAAGGCATACTTGCTTCTTCCATGACACCCCTGCCATCATTGGGCCACTCGGAGCTGCCTTCTTAGCTAAAACCAGTTCTCCTCTACCTTCAGTAGAATTGTGTCCTCTTCCCATGAGGGAATTCAAGATTTCATCTAGAATTCAACATTCTTCTGCTCAGCATCTTATTCTTTGTACCTATACCCAGGCTCAACAAATGTTTCTTAAACAAGCGAACCTGGATGAAAATGTTTCCATTGCCCCTAAAAAGTTCAGACTAATGCTTCATTCAGAAGACTTAGTTCCAGGGCACCTTCCAAACCAGATTAAACAAAGTCCTTTCTGTGGTTTCTGAGTGATGAAATCCTTAGTGACATGACTCATCTTATTGACTGCTCCTTGCCCCACAATGCAGAAACTCTGGCTATTGAACTATATGAAATGTGGTAGAGCAGAGCAGTTAAAAGTGTGATCTTGAGAGTCCCAGATCTGATCTTGACTCTGTCACTGGGTGGTGGTGTGACTCTAGACTCTGAATCTGGGATTGAAGATAACTATAGTGGCTAACTCAGAAGATTGTTAATTGGATTAGCTGACATCCAAGCATCCTTGCCTGGGACAGATAATCCACATTACAGCTTCATCCTCTGCCTGACATAGCAGCAGGGCCTCGGGTCACCATGACAATCTTTCTATTTATTTTATGCCTAAATTTTCCTCCACCCTTATTTCAAGTGGCCACTGGAAAAATTAGTGCCACACACTGGCTTTCTCTCCACTTGGTTTATATCACTGACTAGACTTTTCAAGGCCAATTTATTTTTATTTTATTTATTTATCTTTAGAGAGGAAGGGAAGGATAGAAGGAGAGAAATATCAATGTATGGTTGCCTCTCATGAGTCCCCTGCTGGGAACTGGCCTACAACCTAGGCATGTGACCTGACTGGGAATTGAACCGCGATCATGTGGTTCGCAGGCTCACGCTCAGTCCACTGAGCTACACCAGCCAGGGCAAGGCCAATTTATTTTGAATACATGGGTCTTCATTGGGCACCTGTGTGTTAAGACCCCATTTTCAGAGTAATGGAGAGTAATACAGTGAGCTACAATGGAATAAAAAGAGGTGGGTGGAAGGTAGTTGGTTACCAAGACGGACTCGAGATTGTTGTGGAAAGAAGGCCATTCAAACTCTGATGATTTCTCAAACTCATTCTGTCTCCCAAATCCACCTTAGGCAATAAAGAGCCTCAGCCAAACACAGAAGCTGCTGCTGCTGCTGCTGCTTCACTCATGAACATATTCCATTTCACCCAGAAGCTGGTAGAGAAGCTGTATAGTGGGATGTTCTCAGCAGACCCAAGACACATCCTTCTCTTCATCACAGAACACATCATGGTGGTAAGAACCCCAGGCTGGCAATGGTGGTATGGGAAATTCTGCTGACTGACCAAATATCTGTATGACACACTGCTGGCTATGCAGTTCATCCAGATTAGCCAGCTGTCCTTCCTGGAAACAGGATCTGAGGTGGGTGGGCAAAAGGAGGAAGACCTATATGGCTTAGGCAATACCTGGTGGCTGTTGAGTACCCTGCAGAGCTCTCAACTCAGACCACCTGAGACCTACTTCAGTAGTTGGGAGCCGAGGTCCCTGTGCCAGCACCTGAGCTTTGTCTCCTTCTAGACTCTGCACACTTCCTTTGGGTTTTTATTGTGATTGTTGTTTTTATCTTAATTGTTGTTATTCTTCATCAACAAAGAAAGGGCCAAAAAGGTCTTTATCCCCAAAAGACCTATTTCATTTTCTTCTTTAGTGTTCACTGCCATTTGTCACATTTGAGCTAGTCCTATTATTCTTGCATGTGCTCTCTCTCTTCAGACAGATCCACAGACGTACCCACAGGTGGCCATGCCTATAGATATATCCTTAGGTATAAGAGTATATACATGTGTACAGACAGGGTCTTTATCGTACATGTATATACACACACAATCATACAATCTCAAAATTGTAGAGTTGAACTATTTTTTTCCTGCTTCTTGTCACTCATTTTGCTCTGGAAATCTTTTCTAGCAAGTGGCCATTTGTTCTTTCCTCAAAACTTCCCTAAGTGAGGAGTTCACTGTGGGACAAGGTCGTCCCAGCCATTGGGACAACTGTGACTGTCAGAGAGTGCTTTCTCTTACTCAGCGGAACTCTGCCTCCAGCAACTCCTGCCAGCTGCTCTTGGCATGTCTTCTTCAGCAGCACCCAGAGAAACCACTGTCCTTCCCCTTTATGTTTCATAGGGAGAGTGACATTGGCACCACAAGCACCCTTCTGTCTATGGAGTTACTGTAGACCCCAGGACAATTCCTAGAATGATAGTCTGCCTGAAACACAGTTCCAGGCAAGCACAAAAATAATTTAATCAGAGGCTTTCAAGAAAAACTTTAAGAGGAGAGAAATATCCCTTGTCATCTCTGAGAAAATTAAACTCAGATTCCTGGGAAGTTGTATTGATAATGAAAGTAGTTGTGGAGCTCCTGATTTCATTCAGGCTGCTGTCACGACATGCCATGGACTGGGGAGCTTAACAACAAGCATTTATTTTTCATTGTGCTGGAGGCTGGGAAGTCCAAGATCAATGTACTGGCAGATCTAGTGTCTGGTGAGGACTCTCTTCCTGGTTTTCAGATGGCCATCTTCTTACTGTATCTTCATATTATGGAGAAAAAGGAAGAAGTCTCTCCCTGGGCTCTTCCTATCCTTTTAGAAATCCCATCATGAGGGCTCTATCCTCATGACCTAATCACTTCCCAAAGATCCCATAACCAAATACCATTGCATTGAGTATTAGAATTTAAACATTTGAAATTTGGGAGAGAACACATACGTTAAGCCATCACAAATTCTAATGGTCAAAGCAAAAGCTCAGAGCTAATACTAAAAAGTGGGTGCCTGCTGGGCCTTATGTGACTTCAGGAGTGCCAGGCCCAAGGACTCTCAGTTCTATCCACATTTGTCATCCTTCTCTCCTGTTTATGACTCATAACTCTCAACCTCAGTTTGAAAGACATAACCAATCTGAGGAGTAGCAGAAGACAGTGTTAAAAAGCAAACCCCAAATTGCAGCAGACTTAGGTAAAATTAACTTCATTAGTATAAATATTTGCAGTACCCATAAGATTCTAAGAGAGCAAGCTATAACTAATAAATTACCTTTCTATTAGATTGAGAAATTTTGCATGTAATTTTCTGTGGATTCTTTTTAAAAAAATATTATTTATTTATTTATTTTTAGAGAAAGGGGACGGGAAGGAGAAAAAGTGGGAGAGAAACATCAATGTGTGGTTGCCTCTCATGTGTCCCCTACTGGGGACCTGGCCTGCAACCTAGGCATGTGCCCTGACTGGGAATCGAACCAGCAACCCTTAGCTTCGCAGGCCCATGCTCAATCCACTTAGCTATACCAGCCAGGGCTGTGGATTCTTTTTGATGAAGCCAAATAAATAGGTGGACTGATTAGTATTAAGGCTACAAATCAGGACCTCTGACTTCCCCCTCTAAGTTTCTCATGTGGTTAAATTCACTGCATTCCTGTCTCCCTTAGATGCTATCTGAGCATGGCTCAGATGTCTGGTATGGGTTCAACCCTTAACCCTTGCTGACCAGTGAACCTCTTTGACCCTCATCCTTCTTCTCTCTAGAGTGGCACAACCTTAGTGTTTATTTCATCATGTTGTTAGGATGCTTAAGTGAGATAATATATGTAATTTCATGCAAAAATGCTTGGTATATACCTGTAATATTATAAAAATTCTGTGCTTGATAACTAATATGTACCATTAGGGACATATTTTTAATTAAACATTATTAACAGCATGTTCTTATACTCTGAAGGTTAATCATTTTACCTATATTTCAGAAATCCCTGGTTCCCCTGTCTACTTTCTATAATATGGCTGTGGTAAATTTAAATTTCTTTCCATTAATTTTTGGTAAATTTGACAATTTGAATTGCTATTATTGATCATTCACTTAAATAGAAGCTCAAAGGTATAGAAAATAGTCCTATTTGAATTTTAGATCATGCCACTTTTTGAAATACAGAAAAGGCTGAGATTGTATCATCTTTACAGTTAACTAGGTCAGTTCCAAAATCATAAAGTGTTCACAAGTATGTTTGTGTATGTGTGTGTTTATTTTATGACACAGGTAATGGAGAACGCATATTCACAAAGGGACACTGTCATCAGTGCTTTATACAGCAGTTTAAATAAAGTCATTCTTTATTGCCTCTCCAAGCCCCAGCAGTCTCTCTCCGAATGTCTCAGCCTTCTCAGCATTCTGGAATTCCTGCAGGAACACTGGGATATTATCTTTGCCACCTATAACTCCAACTCCAGTTTCCTGCTGTGCATCATGCATTGTCTGTTTCTGCTTAGTGCGAGGAGGTAAGAGCTTCCCATTTTTCTGTTTTCTTGCCCACCAGTAGTCAGTGCAGAACAGACCATTCAGAGGGATGCTTGCTGAGGTCAATATAAATGATAGAATCCTTTTTTATCTGGTTTTCTAAATTATGTACAATGTTCGATAATATAGTAGGTCTTCCTCAACCCAACTCTGCTCAGTCTAGATGACTGAGCATCTAGAATCATCATAAAACAATAATTTACCCAATTTCCACAATTCTCAGTTAAGATTCCTCATTGATTTAATTTTGGGGGTAGAAAACTTCAACTTTAAATATGAACATTGATTTTATGATGTAGGTAGGCTTTGGAAATATTAACCTTTGATAAATATAACCATAGAATGGAAAAACATAAAATAAATTATATTATGCAAGTGAAAAATAATTTTGCTTACAGAAACAATATACAGACAATATATGATATGAAATAATACCCATAAGTATACTTGTGGATAGAAATACTAATAACAAAAAATTAACCCACTTTAAATTCTTTTCTTGGAGTTAAAAGTTTGAAAATATTACATTTCTGTGTGTGTGTGTGTGTGTGTGTGCACTTTCCCTCTCTGGGTATGGCAATGTGTATATATCATGTGCCAACAAGGCCTTGGTGTCATACTGCCTGTGAATATTATCTCATTAATAGAGAGCCATGCTGAGTGGAGAAGAAGAGCGGGCTATGGGATGATTTTATTTATCCCAGTGCAAGTTATGTTTCATTCCTGGAAAAAAAGTCCCCCAAATTCTGTTGAGTTGACTATTAAGCATTACAAACACTAGAGTAACTCTCTGGGAAGCACCAGAAAAATACTCCTAGCTGCCTAACCCAGAGGAGGCACTTGCTTTTTATTTGTTTGAAATAAAAGAATTCATTTGCAGTTTGTGAATTAAATTGTATTTTCTGTATTTCAAGAATTAGGTCTTATCCATACTGTAAGTAAAGGTAAACAGAACAAAATGCAGATTGGTTTGTGTGCTTAAAGTTCCACTCTCATCACATTCCTCTGATTAGGAAAATGGACTCCAAAATCCAAAGGCACTCCAATGCTAGAAATTTTAAGAATGGATGTATTCACACGCTGCTATATTTTTCATTTTCTTGTTTGTCATTTTTTGGTTCAATCACAAACAGGTACTGAGTGTATATTCTGCTTTGTTGGCTGAGGGGGCCCAGAGAAGGGGCACATATATATTCACATGACTAGGAGCCCTGGAGCACACAGTTCATGGGGAACCTACTATGTTAGAAACAATCACCTCACTTAGAACTAACTATGGGATGTGTGAGCCTCAGCAAAGTACAAATGAGGGTCTCTTGTTCAAAAATTACTATGAATTTCAAGATGATAACAGAAGAGCCCAAGCTTGGTGCCTTTCTGAATATGGACTCTGTAATATTGCAAAGGTCAGAGGCCCAATGGAGCTGGCCCTAGCCCCATTCCAGGAAGAGTGACATTCAAGCCAAATATAGGCAGAGTTCAGTGCTGTGGAAGTCTGCAAAAAGAAATAACCAATTATAATGGTGGAGAAACAAGGAGAGGGTTGGGTGGTCTGCCAGGAGCATGGATTGAATTTAATTAGATAGGAACAAAAAAAAAGGTGTTTTTTTTAAAATTTCCCAGGATGGTATTATATAATATCTGTCATAGAAGTTGTCGTAAGCTGTTTGCTTGAACTTGATTAGACAGTTTTTCCATATTGATGTGTATTGACTTTGGAGGATAATCATTTGTAGTAAAGAACAATGGCATACTCATAAAGAAATTAGATTTTATAGTGAAAAATCTCTTGTCCACTAGTTATCCAGAAGGATTTGGATTGGAACCCAAGCCTAGAATGACTCCTTATCATCAAGTGTTTCTTTCTCCAAATGAAGAAGTGAGAGAAAAAAGAGTGGATGACTTCCCAAGTTTGAGTGATGGTACATTTTATCCGTTGTTATCTTGGGGGAGTAGATGGATAGTGAATCAATAACTGCTAGGGTTGCATTCTTCAAATATCTTGGGAAAGTTTACCTTTCCCAAGATAAGGAAATAAATACTACTAAGGAGATATTCAAAGGGCAGAAAAAGCCCTAGAAAATCCCAGAATGATATAGCAGTACAGCAAGGTAACCTAAATAAGAATAAAATTGCAGTGATCTTTACATATTAAACATGGAATGGGATGATGGATGGATGGGTGGAAGAAGAGAGAGCTCTGTGGAACTTGGTTAGACTAAAAACTTGGTGTTCTTACCAAAATTTCAGAGGACCTCACTGTAAGTTGATTTTACTTCTCAGTTAGTCTCTTGAATTTTTCCTTTGGACCACTAGATACCATCTCTAGTTGAAACCATTATAAAGCTGTCACTTTACCTTTCTTCCCTAGAAAACAGGAATGGAATTAATAAACTCATTTCTTTTTCAAAGTATTTAGCTTAGTTGAGTTTATTCTTGGATTTGCTAATATCAAGTGAAGTTAAAGGGATTGGCAATTTGTAAAAACAAAAAAGAATTTGGATCTATGTGTCTGAGAGATTGCTCTCTTTGGTCCAGAAAACTTCAGCAGACCACTTCAGTTTGCTGCCAGTTACCATGTAAGAGTTTGTGATACTAGATGGTGGGTGTCAGAGCTTGCTTTCTGGTCAGATAGTACTCAAAACCAGCGCTCAAAAATAAATTGTGAATTTAATTTTTACTCTGAAAATATTGATTACAACAACAACATTAACATTTGGGGACTTGGTGGTAGCGTGGACTGCCTCATGCATACTCCTAGGGTGATAAAACACTATAGAGGCTGGTATCAAAGAGGGACCTAGTGGTCCAAGATTAGAGAGGATTTAGGCACTAGTCATGGGATTATAGTTGTGGGGAACAGCAGGCAGAATGGCTTGGTAGATTTGTCCATATCTGGGCAAATGAAGAATACTGAGCTGGATGGCTGGTGGGAAGCTTGATCCAGTGCCAGGAAAGAGTTCTGGCCTCGGTCCTGCCTTCATGGGGACAATCTTAGTTTTGTTCAATTTTTCTGAAGGGCTAACATAAAAGATAGCTTGGAAGGAGCTTTTAGGGGGAAGCTATTTGGTGACCTAGAACTTTCACAAGCTTCTCCCAGTGTGGCATCTAACAGAATTGGGAGGTGAGAGAAAGAAGTTCCCTAACCCCATCAATCATGATTTCCAGCTCTCAACATGTGAGGCAGGCAGGATTTGGTGGTGGGAAGCTAGAAGCAGGGTAAAAGCCAGCTCCCATTGATGTTGGTAGCATTGCAAATCTAGGATGATGTTCAAAATGGATGTCAATAAAAGCAGCCACAACATGCCATCTCTTTTTCTCTTTGGGTGGAGCTTGGAGGCCCTCCTGATCATATGATGTGCTCTTCCTCTCAGTCCAGCACAGCATCCAGAAGATGGTGCAGACGCTCTGGCAGCAGCTTATGGCACAGAGGCGGCAAGAGCTGGAGGACACCTTCAAGATTGATCTCTCTGTGAAAACTGGGGAAAGAGAAGTGAAGATTGAAGAGGTCACTCCACTCTGGGAGGAGACGATGCTCAAGGCCTGGCAGCATTATCTAGGTCTCTGTCCACTTGGCTCCAGAGAACAGAACTTCTGGGTCTCATAGAGCCAGACTTTCCCAGGTTCCACACAGGGCCCAGAGCCTTTTCCACCCAGAGATTCTCTCTCATTCCTTAGGGGTGGGATTTATATCACTGAAACCTCATAAATCTTTGCTCCAAAGAATAAATGCTGCTTTGCATCTTAGGTAAAAGGAAGGCCAGAGATGTTAACCAAGCAAGCAGATTTTAGAAACTTCTTAGATTGAAGGGCTACCTACCAAGTTAGAACTACATTCTGGGCTCTTGAGCTTGAGGTTCTAGGTCCTGCCCTGATATTCACCTACCAGCCTTGAAGCCTTGCACCAAGTTATGTAGTGACCTGGAGCCTCAGTTTCTTCATGCTCCAAGCAAAAGTCTTCATGCCAAAAATATTAATGTCTCTTGCACTCTGTCAATGACTCAACATTTTACCTGCATAGTAGTCTCTGCAGCTGTGAGAATGATGTATTAATTTTGTTTTTAAAGAGGTCATTGCTTTAAAATTCTGGCTTATATACTTGTAAGTCTCAGCATCATGAAATTCACAGTTATTTGAGAGTCAGTTATTTCTATCTATGTTATCCCAGACTACTTAGTGGTATAGCACTTTTTATTTTCTTGGTTTCCCAAATTAGCCCTCACAAATATATATCTACGTGCATGAACAATTTAAACTCAAGATGTCACATTCCATTTCAGGGAAAAGTTCAATAAAATAAGGCATATATACCCATGTACAAGGGGGGATTCCCCAAATTACAGAACTTTTTATAAAAAGTTGTGTATTTATTCTTACATGTTTAAACTTCAGTCACCTTCAAAGTGCTCTCCATTTGATGCAATATACCTATCAAGAGGTTTTTTTCCAGTGTTCAAAACAGTTTTTGGACTCATCAATTTCGATACCTTTTAGCACTTCTGCCATTTTTTGTTTCACTTCTTCCACATAGGCAACATATTTCCCTTTGAGGAATTTTTTTCTTCTGGGAAAGTTTCTTGCCCCAGAAAAAGTTTCTTGGCGCAAGACCAGGTGAATAGGGAGTATAGGGCATGGGGCTCATGGCATTCTTGGTCAAAAACTGCTAAATACTCAACACTGTGTGGGCAGGTGCCCTTGTAAATCACCCATTATGAAATGAGCAAACATGTTGAGAGTCTTCAAAAAAATTCACTGAGGTCAAACACATCCTCTCACAACAATGCAGCTGATACAGATGGTACACTGATACAGATGGGTTCCTAGAATACTCATCTAGCAGGGGAAGTGTATACTACAAGGGGCCCACCCTCTAGAGGATAATTCCTTTTTGGGGCATCCCCCTTGTGTGTGTGTGTGTGTGTGTGTATGTGTGTGTGTGTGTTGTGTGTGTGTGTGTGTAAATATAAAACATTGAGATGGACTTTAAGATAAAAATGGCTATTTTTTTGCAAACAACCATATTTTGCAAACTTATATTTCATGGCCAATGTTTTAAACACATAATCTTATTTACTCTCCATGATGCCACAGTGAGGTTAGATACTGTTATTCCCATTTTATTGGATGAAAACACTGAGGCTCAGGAACTTTAGCTAACTTGTCCAACAGTCAGTGAGCTATGGAGCTAGGAGTCTAAGCCAGGAGCTGGTAACCTGGGCTGTTTTCCCTATTGGAGGCAAGCACACTGGGCTGAAGCCTCTGGCTAGCCATTTGAAAGCCAAGCCAGCTATAGAAATAGTGTGTGTTTTTCTCTCCATTTATCCTCTGACAGTCTTTGCTTTTTTGTCCCCAGCATCTGAGAAAAAATCTCTGGCCAGTCGCTTGAGTGTTGGACACCATAGCAAAGTCACTTCATGGAGTGGAAGTTTGTCCTCAGCCATGAGGCTGATCCCTGGGCGGCAGGCCAAGGACCCTGAATGTAAGACAGAGGTGAGCCCAGGACACTTTTCCATCAGGCATTTTCTTCAAACCTCATGAGTTGTATCTTTTCTTTCTGTTGTCATTAGACAAATCCAATTCCATGTTATTCTGAACTTTTAAGGGTATGCATGTGGCTTTGCAGTTGAGGCTACATCTAGAGGAGTCAGGTCTTAGGCTAGTTTTAATTTAAAGTGACTATGAGCTCACCTTGAGTGCCAAGAGCAGGTGTTCATTATGGCATTAAAAACCAAGAATTGGATCCTTGACCCATTCTCCTTTTGAGTTAGATGCACTCAATGAGCACTAGATCATACCTCAGTAGGAGCTGGGTATGTGAGCTCAGCAAAGAAGGAAGAAATGCTAGTACTGTTACTGGGAGAAATAGTGTTAGGTCCTCTTGACTAGGTGGGGCTTTGATGTTGGGGTTTTCTAATTTGTTTCTCTAAAGCTGCATAACAAATGATCCTGAAACTCAGTGGCACCAATAATGATTTTCTGTGATCATAGATACTGTGGTAAGGAATTTAAAACATAGCAGGTTTGGGGGTGTGTTTCTACTCCAAGATGTCTGGGCCTTTTCTAGAATCAGTGAAAGTCTCTTTTACTCACACATCTGGTGGTTGCTGCTGACTTTAGTCTGAGACCTTATGAGACATTGGTTGGAACACCTATACACAGCTTCTCCATGTGTGCTGGGTTTCCTTACAACCTGGTGACAGCGATTCATGGACCAGTGTTCCTAGGGAGAGGAAGGATGAGAGAGAGAGAGAACCAGGCAGAAGCCACATTGCCTTGCCTTCCATAAGCTTGCTTCGGAAGCTATGCAGCATCACCTCTGCTGTGTTCTTTGGGTTGAGATAGGCACAAAGTTCTGTTCAGGTTCAAGGACAAGGAAATATACTCCAATTTTTTGAGAGGAAGTGTCAAGATTCTGCAAGAGCATGGAGGCTCTTTTTGGAAAACACAATCTGTTATATGTTTTAATGTCGGAGTCACTGATTTATCTGCAGAGGCAGACTATGAGCATTGAATGGATATAGCCTTAGGGTGAGGAGGCCTTGGGAAGTTTATTTACCTTACCCGATTCTTTATCTTCTTACCTCCACACTGGGACAAATAACTGTAAGAGACTGTGAGAAAGGGCTCCCCAAGGAGGTAAAGTAGGTGGTTAATAGACACACCACACAATTTGAGCTCTTGCCCATTTGACTTTGGAAACTGAGGTTGACTTCAAATTCCACCTGCTCAGAATCTGGGCCTTGCTGTCCCCATGTGTCCACTGTGGTTAGTAACTAATGCAGTGTCATCACATACTGGAGAGAAGAACGGAATGAAGGGCTTCCTGCAACCACTCAGGCTACCAAGGTTAGGAGAGTTTCTTCGTTCTAAGCTTCCAAAACAAGAGGCCTCAGGATATATGGAGAAAGCCTAATCATAGAAGGAAAGACAGGAAGTCAGCTTGCCTGGACTGGCTGGCCTCCTAGTTCAGAACCAGGATAGCCTGTGTCTTCAGCACTTGGGGTTGTGGAAGACAGCGATCAGTAAGTATGTGGACAGACTTATTGGCTCAGTGAGAGAGTGCATAACAGATTTTATATCACCTATATCACACAGCAATTATAAGCTCCATTTTATAGATATGGAAACTGAATCTAAAAAATGGCAAGGGCTTTGCAGCCAGGAGGTAGCAGAGTGAAGGTATCATTTCCTGCCTCTGTACTGCCATGCATGACCTTGCCCTTTCATAACCTCTCAGACCCTTGATCCCTGAACACACAACTGAGAATGTGCTCTGTTTACACTAGAATGTAGGGAAAAACACTTAGGAACTGCAAGTGCTTTAGAAATAGAAGATAGTTTACAAAATTCCATTTTACCATATAGCTTTTTAAAAATCTTTTTTTGTTGTTGTTATTTATTACAGTCGTCACATTTTTCCCCTTTGCTCTTCTCCACCTATCCCAACCCCCACATTCACAGTTCATTCCTTCACTGTGTCCATGTTCATGAGTCATTCATACTTGTTCTTTGTCAGGTCCCCTCCCTTCCCTTTCTTTCTAGCATTATCTGACTCCTGCCTCCGCTCCAATCACTTTCAGTTGGTTCCCTGTTTCCATGCCTATAGTTAATTTTACTTATTAGTTTATTTTGTTCTTTAGATTTATCTTGCACATGAAATCAAATGGTATTTGTCTTTTGTTAACTGGCTTACTTCACTTAGCATGATATTCTCCATTCTTCCATTCAGACTATCACAAAAGATAGGAGTTCCTTCTTTCTTTCTGCTGCATAGTATTCCATTGTGTAAATGTACCACAGGTTTTTGATCTGCTAATCTACTGATGAGCACTTAGATTATTTCTAGCACTTGATATTGTAAATAGTGCTGCTATGAACATTGGGGTGCATAAGTTCTTTTAAATTGGTGATTTACGATTCTTAAGGTACATTCCCAGCAGGAGAATTTCTGGGTCAAAGGCAGTTCCGTTTTTAGTTTTTTAAGGAAATTCCATACAGTTTTCCAAAGTGGCTGCAGCAGTCTGCATTCCCACCAACAGTGCACTAAGGTTCCCTTTTCCCCACATTTTCACCAGCACTTGTTTGTTGATTTATTAGTGATGACCATTCTGCCAGATCTGAGGTAATATCTCATGGTTTTTATTTGTATCTCTCTGATGGCTAGTGATGTTGAGCATCTTTTCATATGTTTATGGGCCATCTGTATGTCCCCCTTGGAGCAGTGTCTGTTCAGACCCTTTGCCCATTTTTTAATTAGATTGTTTGTCTTCCTGGTGTGGAGTTATGTGAGTTCTTTATATATTTTGGAGATCAAACCCTTGTCCAATGTATGATTGGCAATACATCCACCTATACAATCTGTTCCCTTTTCATTTTCATGATGGTTTATTTAGCCATGAAGAAGAATTTTAGTTTGATGTAGTCCTATTTGTGTATTTTTCCCTTTATTTCCCTTAACCTAGGGAGATATATTGGCAAAAATATTGCTATGTGGGATATTTGAAATTTTATTGCCTACATTTTCTTCTAGGACCTTTATGGGTCATGACTTATATTTAAGTCTTTTATTCATTTTGAATTTATTCTGGTGTATGGTATAAGTTGGTGCTCTAGTTTCATTTTTTTGCATGTACCAGTCTATTTCTCCCAACAGCATTTATTGAAGAGGCTATCTTTACTTTATGGTATGCTCATGGCTTCTTTGTCAAATATCAATTGACCACAGAGACATGGCTTTTATTTCTGGGCTCTCTAATCTGTTCCACTGATCTATGTGTCTGTTCTTATGCCAGTACAAGACTGTTTTGATTACCATGGCCTTGTAATATAGTTTGACATCAGATACTGTGACCCTTCCTATCTTGTTCTTCTTACTCAAAATTGCTGTGGCAATTCAGGGTGTTTTTGGTTACATATAAAATTCTGAAATGTTTGTTCTATATCTGTGAAATACATCATTAGTATCCTAATAGGGATTGTGTTGAATATAAATTGCTTTAGACAGTATGGACACTTTGATGATGTTAGTTCTTCCAGTCTAACATCATCCATTATGCTTCCATTTATTTGTGTTTTCCTTAATTTCTCTCTTCAGCGTTGTCTAGTTTTCTGAGCACAGGTCTCTTACCGGCTTGGTTAGGTTTATTCCTAAGTACTTTATCTCGTTGGTATATCAAATGGGATTTTTCTCCTGATTTCTGTTTCTGATATTTCACTGTTGGTGTACAAAAATGCCTTTGATTTCTGAATGACTTTGTATCACTCTATTTTCCCAAATTCACTTATTAAGTCAAGTAGTGTTTTTGGTGAACTCTATAAGATTTTCTGTACACTATTATGTCTTGTGAGAACCATGATGGTTTCGCTTCCTCCTTTCCAATTCGGATGGCTTTATTTCTTTTTCTTGTCTGATAACTGTACTCAGGACTTATACTATGTTGACTAGAAGTGGTGGGTAAAAGTGTGTATCCTTGTCTTATTCCTGATTTCATTGGGAAAGCTTTTAGTTTTTGCCCATTGAGTATGATGTTGGCTGTAGGTCTCTTGCATATGGCCTTTATTTTGTTGAGGAATGCTCCTTCTACTCCCATTTTGCTGAGGTTTTTTTTTATCATAAATGGGTGCTGTACTTTATCAAATACTTTTTCTATAGCTATTGATATGATCATGTGATTTTTGTTTTTCCCTTTGTTTATGTGATGTATTACATTTATTGATTTGTGAATATTGTTCCATCCTTGCATCCCTGGGATGAATTCCACTTGATCATGGTGTATGATCTTTTTAATGTATTGCTGGGTGTGATTTGCCAATATTTTGTTGAGGATTTTAGCATCTATGTTCATCAGTGATATTTGCCTATAGTTTTCTTTCTTCGTTGGGTCTTTATCTGGTTTTGAGAATAGGATGATGCTGGCTTCTTAAAAAGAATTTGGGAGTTTTCCATCCTCTTGGATTTTTTGGAATAGTCTGTGAAGAATGGGGGTTAATTCTTCCAGAAATGTTTTGTAAAATTCTTCTGTAAAACCATCTGGCCCAGGGCTTTTGTGTGCTGGGAGTTTTTTGATTACTGTTTCAATTTCATCAACTGTTATTGTTCTGTTTAGAGTTTCTGCTTCTTCTTCATTGAGTTTTGGAAGATTATATATTTCTAGAAATTTTCCCACTTCATACAGGTTTTCAAATATCATGACATACTGTTCTTTATAGTAATTTCTTACAATCCTTTGTATTTCTGTAGTATAAGTTGTAATTTATCCTCTTCATTTCTCATTTTATTTATGTTACTCCTCTCTCTGTTTTTCTTGATGAATCTGCTTAAAGGCTTGCCAATTTTGTTTATGTTTTTAAAGAACCAGCTTCTGAATTTATTGATCTTTTGAATTGTTCTTTTAGTTTCTATATCATTTATTTCTGCTCTAATCTTGGTTATTTCCTTCCTCTACTTGGTCTGGGCTTTGTTTGTTGTTGTTCTTCCAGTTCTTGAAGGT